ATCCTATTTTAACTGGAAAAAAATTCTAAAGCTCAGAAGCTCAGAAGCTCAAAATTTCTTCTAAAAATTTTGAAAGAAAACCTTAACATTTTCTGAAATTTTGTCCCAAAACTTTTCAAAAAATGGTGATTCATGATGATCAGTGACCTCGATCGACATAACCTTTTTTAGTTTTTCGACAAAAAAAAAGTTTCCTTTGTGAAACAATCGGATCGCCCGTTATGGTCGATGATTCACGATTTTTACTATCTCATAAAATTAGCATATCGTATTTTTATTTCCCCATTGATTTATGGCTTTTTTTTCTTATTTGAAGGTGATTCGAGGGGACTCTGAATGTTCTCGAAATTGTTAACTTCTCTTGTTTTGCTCGCTGCAGTTTGAGCTCAATTATCTCGGTTCCTATAAAAGATGTCAATAATCTTTCAACTGATAAAATGTTTATCATCTTATCAGCAGTATTTTCATAAGTTGCAAATTTTTGATATCTCTTACAGTAACCGAGATATGTTAGGTCAAAGTTGGGTGCAGTTGGGATTACTGTATTTTTGAATATCACAGTTTTTTGTCTAGTTTTTTTTTCAGAAACCACGAGGGCAATTTTAGTTTTGCATAAGTTCAGATCCTAGAATTTCAGACCCTCTAACCTTCCCCAATATTTCAGGGCTCCGTGACTCTTCCAGCCCATTTCTTCCCTCCATCTTAACCCCGAATCTATCTGTTTTTTTCTGTCAGGACCCTTGATTTCCTCCCCCTTTTCTTTTTCTTCCTCATTTCCTTTTTTTCTCCTTCTCCTTCTTTTTTCCCGCCTGCTCCCATTTTTCGCTCCGATGAAGCTTTTTTCTTTTCCTTCTTCTTCTTCATCTGCTCCATTTTCGGCGGGGCGCCCGAGGAGCTCCCTCTTTTTCTTTCTCTCTTTTTTCTTCTTCTTCTTACATCCCGCTTAATTATTCAGTCAGACTAATGGGGAAGAAGAAGAAGGAGAAAGGGGAGAGAGAGCCTCGAAGTAGTAATGCACCCAAATTCTTAGCTTTTTTGCCTAGTTTTTGGGGCAAGTGGTGGTGGTTGTGGACGGGATAAGAAAAACGGAAGGTAGAAGAAGAAGAAGAAGAAGAAGACAGAAGACTTTGGTTTTGTCTGGAGTCTCTCTGGGAATATATCCATCTTCATAGTTGGGTCCAGAATGTATTTCTTTTGCGGAGAGACCCTTTTTGAGTTGTATCCCAAACTTCCTGATCTACTCAACTACTGTAAACACTCTAATAAAATGACCCTTCTAGTTTGGGCCAGTTTAGCTCGGTTTCTTTGAAAGATATAAAAAAGGTAAACTAGAAACATATTTTTGATATTATAATGAACATTTTGACTGTTGACCACTTTTTGATATCTGTTATAGGAACTGAGATACATGAGCTCAAAGTTGGCGGTTTGGAGGACGGCATTGTTTAGGGTACATTTTGAGTTGTTAACCCCTTTTAGTGTTAACGGTAGGTATCTCGGCTACTCTTGGGAAGTATTGAAGATTTCAAAAAAAGTTTGGTTCTTTTGAAAATGACCTATTTTAACAATCTCAAAACATTTTCTCAATTAGTCCACTTTCAATATTCCAAAATTTTCAAAGTTTACCACTTTCGAAATCTGTTCCTCCAACCATTCCCTATTTCTTTTCCTATTCATTTTCCCCTCTTTTCTCAATAATAAACATGACATTTCCTGCCCCACCACTCAACCCGGCTTTTACCTTTCCGACGTTTTGGTGACATATTCAAACGGGGCGAGAGCCCATTGTTTTCCAATCCTTTTATAGCTCCCACAACAACACAACTTTTTAGATGTTGTATAGTGGGATCTGTGTTTAGTGGCCTATATTTTCAGCTCTGTAGAGTTCGGTCAGTACCAGCACTACCATAACCTGGTAAAAACGGTGGTGGCCTAGAATCCAAATTAAGGAAATTCAGGCCAACTTCCCCTGACCAAGATTTATTCTCTCTGAACTACCGTATACCATAAGAATAGTGTAAGAGCCTAGAAAACTTGGAAAAAAGCGAAATCGCATGTGCCAGAGGACCTCGTAGTAAGAACCTACTAGTGGGCTCAAATTCCAAACTTGAAATAGTCTCTGACTACCCAGAAAAACACCTATGGACAAATTCGAATGACCAAGAAAACCTAAATTTTAGGTAAATTAGGCAAGCCTTTTTAGTATTTTCTTTCGGGTCCAAGGGCTGACATAAAGAATCTATTTCGAAAATACCTGTACCATAATCCAGGATAGTATTCACCCTATATAGCCTAGATTCCAGAAAACTCAGCTTCCCCTTGGACCAAAGACCTCGATGTTCCTCTTCCAATTCTCCATCGTTTCTCTTCACTTTTCTTTACTGCTTTGCTATCATCTGACAATCAGTGTCGCGGGGCACATACAGAGTGAGACCCCAACACCATACATGTACACACAAACGCCGCCTTATCAATCAATCTGCATAACTAGATCACTCCCCCTCTCTCCCTTCTCTTTCGATACAGCGGTCTTTCTTCCTCCTCCTGCTTGTGCTGCCTACCAACTAACCAAACGATAATGGCCTTTTTTTCTGTATTGAAGTTTTTCACGTTTTTTTTCTGGAAGTTTTGACACTGGACCATCAGCGATTTGCAGGATTTTTTCTAATTGTAAGGCTTGGAGGCCTTCGGTATTGGTTTCTGGCAGAGCTCTTGAAAACTAAAAAATTTAGTAAATTTCAAATTCAACATTTTGTCAGTTTTTTTTTTCGAGATGGCTTCTTGAAGCTAGGACGCTAATTGTAAGAAACTAGACCTTCTTGTAACTGCTTCTCTCGGTCCTCTCTCGAAGAACCCCAACTGTTACCGTATACCTTGCCAACCATCAATCCACGTCATTCTTTTCTTTTCTCTGTTTTAGTACCCAACAGCATAGTTTTATGTACCAGTTATATAACCGACCGGAAACTCTATGCAATGTTTCATTGGCTTTTCCGTTTCCGCTTGTTCGATGGCTTTTTTTGGTTGGCTATTATTTTGCAAAATCACAGAGATATGAAATATGTTGGATTTTGAAATTTCTAGATTCTCTGAGATTCTGAAATTTAGGATTCTGAAATTCAAGATTTTGAGCTACTCACCATATTTTTGTATACCCAAAAAATACCAAAAATCTTGTTGTACCTGTTCTTCCTATTGACATTTTGGCTTTTTGTCTTCCCCTACCTCCCAAAAAATTTCCCTCTGTTCTTCTTCTTTTCCTCCTTATTTTTATTGGGCTCCTTTGCGAATTTCCCCTATTTCCTTTTTCGAAGAAAAAAAACCTTCTGCATTTTATTTCAACTCGGTTTTTAATCGAAAATGACATGATAATTAGTGCACACACACACACACACACACACAAACAAACACAAATTACACATAATTATAGGTGCTAAAAAGCTTTTAGTTAGGGAAAAATGTTTTTGGTGTTTTGCATGATGTGAGAGTTTATTTTTTGCAGTATAAAACACTTGTATAGTTTGGTTCGAAGGAATTTTAGGAATATCAAAAGTTTATTTTCTTGAAAAAAATCAATTTTTTTTCAAAGTCCTTTATCTCACTTCCTGACACAGCTTTTAAGGAAATTTCAACTAATAAAAAACTTAAAATTACAAGCTAAACTTTTTTAAACTGAAAAGTTGTTCATGGGCTTCTTGGTTTTAGAGGTATGCTCTTCTAAAGTGTACTTCGTCAAGACGGAAAGAAACAAGACGCTCTCTTTTCTTTGCGTCTCTCCAACCTACACCACACTAATTCGTAGTCTATAAACTTTCCTGAGCATCTAATACTTTTTGATTCTCTTCATCCCATCCGCTCCTCATTTTTTCCCGAATTCCTCTCCCAATCTATTTCTCTTCAAAATCCACACAATCTCTTTTCTGTTCTACATTTTTCCTCTCTCCGATTTTTTTTTCAAAAAAAAACTTTTCAACGTGATTTTCCATTGTGTGTGCCTCTGATGATGGCCGATTTCTCTGTCGTCTCGGAATTTTTAGACACTTTTTTTCGTCTGTTTGAAACCTTTGAAAATGTGTCAAAAAGTTTTGTGTTAAGAGGGATTTTTTGACGGTTTTATTACCTTTCAATTTAGCTAGGATCACTTCTGATTTTTGCTTTTCGTCTCTCTTGCCGTAATTTCTTCCATTTTTTTTTCGAGAAATTCAATACCTCCAGTTTTCCCTCCCCCGTCCATGTTTTTCCCATTTCCGTAGACGTCATCAGACAAGAAAGGAAAGAAACTGCACTTGTGTTTTTTTTCAAAAATTTATTTCTAAAACTAGGTACTCTGTAAAATGGCCATCCCCCCCCCCCCGCCCAATCTATCAAAACTTCTCACTTTGAACCAATTTATCTCGATTCCTGTGAAAGATATTGAAAAGATGTAAGCTGATAAAATACTTTTTATTTTATAATAAACATTTTTCCGTTGACCACTTTTTGCTATCTTTTACATGAACCGAGATATATGAACTCAAAGTTAACGCCTCTATTCTTGTACTTCGAGCTCAATTATCTCGCTTCAAGCTTGTTCTTCTACAGAGTGTTTACTGTAAGTCATGAAATTTTGGATACCCATCTTGTATAGTTTTTGATATATAAACTGCAGGATGAATAGATCTTTTTTGTTATTGAATTTTAGCAAAATTTGGTTTCACATTTTCTAAAACTTTGGCTCAGAATTTTCCTTTTTTTTTCATTTTCCGTTTTTCCCTCTCACTTTCTGTCGCTCTTCCTTCCCTAAAAAGAAAAATAATTCCAGCCCACCCCCCACTATACAAATTGGCTCATCAACCCATCGCCATCCGTTTTCATCTACCGTAATCCCCGCCCCACATCATCACAACGGAGGCCACGTAACGAGGAGAGACGACGGCGCCGCGTCGTCCGTCTTCTTCCCCCCCCCCCCCCCCTATTCTTCTGCCAAGTCCCCAGAAGAATACCATTAGTTAAGGGATATTATGGCGAAGGAGTTTCAGTTCAATTGGAAGCCCAATATACCCCCTTCACTGGCACAGGGAGCCTGTTTCGATCGCTATGATGATGTGAGTTGATTTTTTTTCCTTGGGGCACTTAAAAACATTTTGAAGTCACGGAATGGGAAAACTGATAAGAGCCAAACATTTCCTATTTTTTATTACCCGGAAAAAAGAAAGAAAAAAGGATGTTGATGTTTTTGCGATTGGCGAGTCCTGATACTGTCTTAAAACTTTCCAGAAACTTTCCAGAAACTTCTTCCTAAGACCATAATCCCATTTTCATACAGATAACAAGACCGTACAGGGTATTAGTGTAGTTGTGCTCGTTGCTCCCGATTTCTTCAAAACTGATAAGAAACTTTGTTGAAAAAGAAAAAAAAAAGAAAAAAGAAAATTGTTTTGGTAGGAACAGGGAGCACCATGTGACTAGAAAAAAGGTCGAGAGAACATCTTTCTAAAAAAGAGGCGCAGAGAAGCTAGAGACTCTAACTGTCTGCACTCTCTCATCCAACAGGGATCGTGCAAGTTTCAAGCTGGCGAACCGTCAACTTCAAGTCAATTTATAATATTTTCTGCAAAATATATCAAAATATGGTCAACTAATAAAATGTTCAGTAGAGAATCAAAAATATTTTGGTAAATTAACTACATTTTGATATCTTTCATAGGAACCGAAGTAAGTTGTCTCAAAGTTGAATCTACCTTAAAAATCAAGAGTTAAAGAAATCTGGCAATCGGTTTTTTTCGATTTCTCTTTTCTCTATTTTTCAACTAAACAATTTAAATGATGAGATCCAGACCAACTCTGCAAAAAAGGAAACCCTGCAAAAAGCGTTCCGAAAAAAACGCACAACTAAACGTCATTAGAGAGATATAAGTGTAATTGGATCATCGCATCATCATCATCCAAAGTATCTATATCCGGAAATTGTTGGAATGACGTTAACTGCAAGAATCGGAACAGACCACAACGTTCCAAAACGGGGTCGAGTAGCGGAGAGAGAGAGGGGACAGACGAACGAGAGCGTCTGATTTTCTGAGCTCTCTCTTTCTCGCCTAATTCTAGTAGGTGTAATTGAAGCTATATTACCATAAAATTTTGCAAATTTAGTAGCTTTAACAGTTGTTTGATATTTTATTGTAAATTGGATTTTGATATATATATATATATCAGAAAAAACTTAAATGCCCCCAAAAAATAGGTATTTGTGATCTCATGACCTCAATTTTCTATATTATCAGAATCAAAATAAACGGGCATCGTCTCGCAGCTATTTTGAATGTTGTGCGTAAATTTGGCAAATTTTGGTCCAGTGGGGACTTCGCTGGGGTCCGCTAACCGGGAACAAACGGACACAAACACCGAATTTGGTGATTCAGAAAACATTGCGGAATATTATGAACATATTAGCTGAGGACACATTTGATATCTTTCTGAAATAATTGAGTTCAAACTTAGAAGTATGGGGTCCCTTTTATTACAGGTTTTACGGTACATGATCTTGAAATAAGGGCTACAAAGAATACATATAATTCCATTTTTCAGGAAAGCACATGTCTGGAACTAAACGCACAAGTACGCGTCGACGAATACGGTTTCTTTTTCTTCTGGTTAGTAGAAGGCAAAGATGCGGTGGTCCTCGATATGGGCCAAATCTGGGAAGCCCGTCCCGGCGGACTGCCCAAAGACGGTCGGATCATGTTCGAGCTGGAACAACGCGGTGCTAGTGAGACGATAGCAGAGCGAACAATTTGGGTGACACATGGACAGGATCTAGTGAATGTTCAGTCGTTTTTCCTAGTAGCTGAAAGTGTAGAAATGGCGAAAATGTGGAGGACAGGCATGAACGAGATCCTGAAGACGTCCAGAATTCGACACGTTTGTCCAACGACACAGTTGCTGAAATAGTGAGTTTATCTTATCTCTGGAAATGGAAAAATCTTTTTTTTTTCAGCTGGAAGTGGCTCACTCTCAACGTTAATGAACGCCGAAAAATTCCCATCAAAGTGATCATTAAAACATTTTCATCCGGCAAACCCGAAAAGATGGTACAAAAATGCCTGAACGATTTGGGTCTAGGTGGTGATAAGGTGCGTTTTTAACGTTTGGTAAAAAATTTTCCAAAAATTCCTATAGATGCCTGTTGTGCTGTGCTCTGAACTATCTATGTCCTATCCTACAGTAATCCATTTTTCTTTCAGAAAAATTCTTTCCCTATCCTTTCAAAATAAACGAAAAACTGTTATCTGAAATTCCAAATTTCAGTGCACGGCGCAGCATGTTTCTATTCTATTCTATTGTGCGTTTATGTGTGTCGACGCAGAGAAACAAGAGCGTCTCGTTTCTCTGCGTCTCTCCCTCATTTTATTTTCTTGTGGTATAACTTCAAACGACTGTATCTCAAAAACTAGAGAAGCTAGAAACATTTTGTCATCTGCAAAAATGATCAGTTTAAAATTTTCCATATTTATTTGTTTAGAATTTTTTGATGACTACTGTAGATCATGGCATATAGGTCCCTAGACTTCAACACAAAAACGCCCAATATATTGAAAAATTCTGTATGTTGTTTTCTGGTATCTCTATATATCTCTATATATATTTTTCTGTGGTGGTTGTCTTTTTTGTGCATCTCCTGTAAATTCAGTATACACCGGTTCGCGTCATCAATCGATCAATGGGCAAAAAGTTTCGGAATTTCTACAAATGCAGTCGAGGCAGGAAACGAAAGGTTTGACATATTGTAAACTTGTTGTGGAATGCAACTTTTGCTATTTCTTTTTTTGCATGATTTCCAAAAAAAATTCGGGGGTTTGGAGGTTCATAACAAAAGATTTTCAGAGAATTTTCTAACAGCTTTCAAGATAAGAGCGAAATTCTATAAAGCTGATTTCAGGAACGAGAAGAGCTGGATGTCGAAATTTTGACATTCGAGAAGTTTCTGCGATTATACAACAAGATTTGCCCTAGGACAGAAGTTCAAGAGTTGTTCGTCAAATTGTAAGTGTTTTTCAGCTAACTAGTAATAATCCAACCATTATTTCAGATCCGGTCAAAAAGAGTACCTAACCAAAGATCGCCTGATAAACTTTCTGAATGAGGAACAGCGGGACCCTCGACTCAACGAGATCCTCTTTCCATTTTTCGATCCGCCACGTACTGGTCAATTGATAGCAAAGTATGAGAGTGACAATAACTACATTGAGAACGGAAAAATGTCCGGTGACGCGTTTCTTCGATTCCTGATGTCTGACGAGAACCCTCCAGTATTTTTGGATCGGATTGAAATGTATATGGATATGGATCAACCATTATGTCACTATTATATTAATAGTTCACATAATACGTACTTAACGGGCAGACAGTATGGAGGAAAATCATCTTCAGAGATTTATCGACAAGTTTTGTTAAGTGGATGTAGGTGTATTGAGTTGGATTGCTGGGATGGAACCGGAGAGAATAAGGGAGAACCGATCATTACTCATGGAAAAGCAATGTGTACGGACGTGTTTTTTAAGGTGAGCAGTGTTTGAAATGATTTGGTCGTGATGAAAGATGTGAAAATCTTGAAGTTCGGATGTTCTGAGGTTCGGAGACACTGAGTCTTGAACTAGAAATGCTTTGATCTGTAATTCTGGGGTTTTGAATTCTTGCATATCTAAAATATTGAAATACTGAATTATGGGGATTCTGAAATTCGGAGATTCTGAGATTCAATCATTCTAGTCTAGATCCTTTGATTTCTGAGTTTCTGCCCTTCTAGATTTATGGATTTTCTGTGACACAGGATCCCTATGTTTCTGAGATTCTGAAATTCTGAGATTCTGAAATTCTGAGATACTGAGATTCTGAGATTTTGAACTTCTGAACTTCTGAATTTCCTGTATGTTTACGATTCTGTAGTGCTGAGATGTGGAGTTAAAACAACTGATATTTCAAAACTCGAAAACTCTAAGATTCCGAGTCTTGTAATTTCCGAAATTCTCAAATGCTAAGTGTAAGACTCCAAAATTTCAGGATGTGCTTATGCAAATCAGAGACACCGCGTTTGCCCGATCAGACTTTCCCGTCATCCTCTCCTTCGAAAATCACTGTTCCAAATCGAACCAGCTAAAAATGGCCAAATATTGTATGGACATTTTTGGCGACATGCTGCTATCGAAACCATTTGATGACGCACCGGTAAGCGTTAATATTCATACTACTCTGCTCTTTGAGCTTAAATATCTCAATTTCTCTAATAGATACCAAAAAACGTTCAACTGATTAAATGTTCGTCACAATATAATTAACATTTTATCAATTGACAAATTTTTGACATCTATCATAGGAATCGAGATAATTTAGCTCAACGGTAAATGTTCAGAAAGGGAATTATAAAATTTTTCAGCTGGAACCCGGAGTCTCTTTACCATCGCCGAACCGGCTTCGAAAAAAGATCCTCATAAAAAACAAGCGTTTAAAAACCGACATTGAAAGGCACCAGTTGGATCAATTTCTACGAGAAGGAAAGCTAGACGAGGAAGACGAGCTGAACGAGACTGCTGATGTCGTTGGAGAGGATTCGGTTTCACCTCGTGAGTCAATTTTTCTTATTTGACCTCATTGGTTCAGTTTTTTGGTTCCGTTTTTTTTTTTTGCAAACCATTTTCAGATTTCACTATCTCTATCTATCTGTTCTGGTGAACTCTATCACATTTATTTTCTTAAAAGAAAAGAAAAATCTTGGCTTAAACTAACCTAAACTATCAGCTCAACGTTTAGAAACTATTCAAGTCAAAAAAGTTGAATTTAAATAAATTATTTTTTAGATCTATACTATTCACCTGTCTTTTTTTCTTCTTTCTTCTTTATTCTTACATTTTATAATTTTTGCCTTTGATATGGTTTTTTTTTGATTTTTGCTTTCTAATCGATTCTCGCTTATGAAACCTTGCTACCCGCCGATTTAACCAATTCACCGCTTTTACATATTCGATATTTTTCACCCAATGTTTAGTCTAACCCTTACGAAAAGTATTAGATGTGTCAGAAATCAATTTTTTTTTCTTCTAACTAACCGAAACAATTCACAGAGCTTGTGTTGATTTTTAAGAGTGGTTTTGAGGATCCTCAATTCTCAAAAAAAACCCGTACTGTCAAGTTTGAGTTCAATTATCTCAATTCTTATGCAAGATATCAAAAATGTGTCAACTAATAAGTTGTTTGTGATATTATGATAAACAATTTATCAGTTGACAAATTTTTCATATCTTTCACAGGAACCGAGAAAAATTGGCTCAAATGTTTTACGAAAAAAAAAGGATGATCCCCTACTCCTCGTTCAAATCAACACAATCTCCAAACTCACCATAAATGTAAATATTTATCCTTTTTCCCATATATTAAAACTACCCTTAGGAAGCGGTGGAAGCGGTGGAACCGTCGCTGCAGAAGACGTCGCCATGGACGACGACACATCGGACGACGACGACGATCCGTCGGTCCAAACCTCGCTGAATGTAATGCGTACCGTTCCAATCGTTAGCACTACCTCCAACAATGGATCAAACCGCTCCGCACGAAGTTCACTGGACACACCATCGCCGTCTGGCGGTGGTCTGATGGTCCCCGATCGGGCATCATCGACAGCGACATCTATCAAAAATGCAGTGCTCGCGAGGTCACCAAACTTCTCGTCATTGAGACAGAAATTGTCTTTCAAGCGAAGACAATCTCCGCTAGGTAGGATTTGTCCTGATAATGAAAAAATTGAAAATTTTCTCTTTTTGCATGAAAAAAAAGTGTTTCACTGCTGCACCCCACCCAGATATCTGCCTATGCTTTCTGTTCTCCACTAACCCTTTTTGCTCTATCTTTGGTTTTGCAGACGTTGTAAGTGTGAACATATACATATGTGGGTATAAAAGAAATAATCAATTTGAAAGTTTTGAAATAGCAAATTCTGAATTTCGCTCCAAAAAGCTTGATATTTGGTTCAAAGCGGACAAGTTTAGTAAAAAATAACGACTAGCCAAGAATAAACTTTATATTTCGAATCATCCTATAAATATTTGATTTTGTAGAATTTTTAAAACAGATTTCGAATTACGAATATTTCGAGAAAGACATGTCTTGCCATAACTCTTTATTAACGCTTATAAAAATCAGAGAAGACTACAAAATTAGAGAAAAAATACGGAATTTTTACTTAAAGAAGGCCAGAATGTTTCATTTTGAAGCACGAAACAAAAATTTTCAAAGCCTAAAAAATCATATTTGCACCCAAACGTTCTGGTAATTCTATCGTATTTCTTGGGTCCTAACGAAAAAGACCAAATTCAATAAAATTTTTAAAAGTACAGTAATCCTATCTCACTTCTCTCTCCTGTCAATCTATCACTCTCTTTCCTCTACCGCCGTGTTTCTTCCACATTTCTGTCTCTGTCGTTTTTGCAGCGGGCGATCAACGAGCACATCCCGAAGTTGAGCAACCCAACAGCTCCTCCTCCCCAGCCACACCATCCATTTGTGGTCCATCCCCGATTGCCACGTCATCAGCGTCAACGTCTTCGATCACAATCACGACGACAGGATGCTCGACGTCGTCGGCAGGAGTGTCAAAACCTAACCAAGGTGGTAAGGGTGTCATTTTTCCCCGATGTTCAAAAATGTACAACTAGCTGTTTATCATCCCTACTGGTAGCTTCTATACTTTTTCCCCCGGAAATAATTGGAATTTGCTCTCTCTCTTTCTCTAGCTCTCTCTTTCTCTGGCTTATATTTTCTCTATTTTCCTCTTCTTTTCGATTTGGGCTTTTCTTGGTGTGCCACCCGCAATAGTTTCTTGCTGAAAATGAGCTTATTTCACACACTTGATTTTTCATCGCATTTTTGCAATTTGCCTTCTGTTTTTTGAAGTTTTGCAGAAGAAGAAGAAGAAAGTGTTATTGAGTAGGTGTTCATATACCAAAAAATTGCGAAAATTGTTTTTAAGGTTTCCAAAAATGTACCGTTTTGCTTTCACAGAAACCCACCGGGCACTTTGAGCTCAACTATATCCGGTCCTATGAAAGATATGTAAAAGTAGTCTACCGATGAAATAATGGTGATATCATGATAAATATTTTATCAGTTGGCAATATTTTGATATCTTTTGAAGGAACAGAGATAATCTCGCTCAAAGTATACGTATAGCGCGGGCTTACTTGGAGCCAAGAAAAATTATCTCAAAGTTGATGGCTAAGGTGCGAATGATAAAAAATACAAATTCGCTCTAATGACTATCCGAACATCTGAATAGACATTTTTCACTTTTTTTTTTATTTTTGAGAATTGAAAAACATACTCTTTTAAAAAATAGAAAAAAGAAATTTATTCGACTCTACATCTTATTTTCAAAAAAAAGTTTTATAGAAATTCCCGAATCTCCGAATTTTTCGAAATTTTTACTTACCCCAAAATCCAATTTTCCAGGTGAAATGCCAGTAAAAGAAACCGACGAAGCACACCCGGAACTCAAGCAAAACTTTATTGCCAAAAATTTGAAAGGATTTGGATTTTCGAAAAAACAAGTGAGTCTATTTTCTATTTTTTTTATTTTCTTCTTGCTTCATTATCAGCATTTAGGAATTCATTTTTTCTTATTCTCACAATCTCCTAGGAAAAACTCTGCATGTGCGCTCTTTCGCAATAGAGCGCACTTGACAAAATCAGTGCCTGCGTTTGAAGTGATTTTCTCTCTGAACTCTGTCTCCATTCGATTATCTTTTTGTTCATTTTCTCTAATCTATTGTCAATTGTAAAATCGAAAATCTGTAGCTGTTTCTATGTTCCTATTCTATTTGGTCCTTCTGATTTTTATATGATTTTTTTTCTGTATTTACTCACTACTAACTATCACAGTAGTAAGGAGTAGTTTTTGATATACTTTTCTTATCATTTCAGATTAATATAGGGAGAAAAGTGGTTTCAAAAAATCCAGACAAGTCGAAGATTGAACTGGAAATTTGAGAAATTCTTCTATTTTCATTCACTCATTTTAAATTTTTTTTTGAAATTTCGAGTTTTTAAAATTTTCAAAAAATCAAGGGAATTGGCTCAACCCTAAAAACGCTCTCTAGTACCACTCTAGAATACCACCCAAACTGTCAACTTTGAGCTCGTCTATCTCATTTCCTGTAAGAGATATCAAATAGTTGTCAACTGATAAAATGTTGCTGATATTATGATAAATCTTTTGTCAATTGACCACTTTTTGACATCTTTCACAGGAGCAGAGATAAATTTGATTAAAGTAAAAGTATTGGGTGGCTTTCTGCCAAAAAGGAAAACCAAATACCATAAAACATCTAATAGAACGACACCCGGATCGTCCACTTTGAGCCTATATATCTCATTTCTGCAAAAGATATCAAAAAGTGGCTAACTACCAACAAGGTGCTGATATCCTGATAAACATTTTACTAGTTAACCACTTTTTGATACCTTTCAAAAGAAGTGAGATATATAGGCTCAAAGTGGACGTTCCGGGTGTCGTTCTATTAGAGGTTTTACGGTAAAAAAACTAATCTGGGTTTCTCCAATTCTAATATTTGAAAAAAAAAACTATTCACACCCTACACAGCCTGATTCAACTTCATCCACCACATTGCTAACCGCATCACCAACACCATCATCATCTTCGATGGCCACGACGATTGCTCTAATGAATCAAACAAGTGTGAGCAGCAACAATACTACAGTAACCACACTAAACTCGCCACAAATCATGGAACGATCGAGAAGCGAGAAACGATCGTTTCGACAGAAAAAAGGTGTTTTTGGCGACGAGCTGCACTCGGACTCGGCGGCACTCATCGATTTTATGAGGACGGCGTCTAGTCGTAAAAAGAAGGTTCGGGAAAGAAAAAATAACTAAACCAACTAAAAAAATTAGTAACATTTATGATTTGAAATTTTTTGGGTAGAAGAACACACCAACACCAGTAGAGAGCATGAAACGGAATGGGAAGAAGGAATGATTCAATATTTTTACACTTGAGTTAATTAATAGCCACCATTGTAGATGGTATTTTTTAAGTTTTGGATTGGAATATTTATATTTTTGATATGTCATGGATATTCAATATTTACTAACACTTTTGTTTCTCTGTTCTTTATCTTTATGTGAATTTTTTATTGGAGATTAGGGGTACTAGATTCTAGGGTTACAAGATTATACGATTCAGGAATTTTAATTTCCGAAATTCTGCGATTCTGAGATTCTTAGATTTTAAGATTGTAAGATCATGAAATTCAGAAATTCAGAAATTCAGAGATTCTAAGATTTTAAGGTTCTGAGATTCTGAGATTCTGAGATTCTGAGATTCTGAGATTCTGAGATTCTGAGATTCTGAGATTCTGAGATTCTGAGATACTAAGATTCTAAAATTCTATAATTCTAAGATTCTGAGATTCTGAGATGTTCCGTTTCTGAGATTCTGAAATTTTAAGATTTTTAGATTCTAAAGTTTTAAGGTTCTGAAAATTGAAAATTTTAACCACATAATTTGAAAAAAACGTTTAGAAAATTAAATTTTGCAATCGTTTTCCATAAATTAAGCCCAAAAAATTATTTCAAAAATTTTTTAATAAAATTATTTACCATTTATGTCAACTTTGTAAAACCCAAAACATCACATCACAAGTCTACAGTACTCTCCTCATGTCCAACAAAACGTTTTTTTTCTCTAACCTCTATATGTCTCTTGTTTTTCTTAAATCTCTCTTTCTCTTTTTTACCTCTATTTCTGGCACGGCTATGTTAATTTTTTAATTTTTGCATGTCTCTCAAAAATAACCAAAGAACCAGCTTCATTGCTTTTCCTCACACTTACATGTCCTCTTCCAAAAAATGGAATTTCTCCATTTTTTTATTTTAATCCAATTTGCCTTTTTCGGCTTTCTCTCCTCTTTTTTCCTTTTTTACTCTATTCTTAAAATTCGCTCTCTCTCCCTCTAACCCCTACTTTTTCCCTGACGTCCAACAACTTTTTTTTCTTTTAAATGTCTGTAATTCTGTGTAATTCCTCCTTCCAATTGATATTTATATGGCTGCACTAATCCACTGAAAAATCAATTATCGATTGGGGTCAGTAAATTCGCTCTAGAGCGTCTTTGCCAACTTTAATCAATAATTGATTGAAAGCGTAACATATTACTCTATGTGTCATGTGTTAAATCACACCAATGTTTCCTTGTAAATCCATTTGAAAAAAAAAGAAAAAAATTAGCTGAAAAATTTAAGACCAGAAATTTAGACGCTTACAGTGTCGTAGAAAAAAACTACAGCCAAAAACTCCCCCATTTTTATACAGTTTTCGAGTTACATTACCCTTTAGAAACGCTTTTTTTTGGAAGATTTTAGTTCACCCCCCAGAAAAATCGAGAAAATTTTTGAGTTTGGAAAAGTAAGATCTGAAATTTTCAGCCGGTATTGACAAAAGAGGAAGAGGAGAGGATATTTGCGGAATATCATTATACAGGAGCCACCACAAATATTCATCCATTATTATCGTCGCTGGTCAATTATACACATCCGGTCAAATTTTCGGGTTTCGATGTGGCAGAAGGTAAGGAAAATTCTGAAATTCCGAAATGCTGAAATTCTGAAATTCTAAAATTCTGAAATTCTGAAAATCTAATACTCCGAAATTCTGAAATTCTGATATTCTGAAATACTGAAATGCCGAAACTCCAGAATTCTGAAATTTCAAAAATGTCTAAATTCTGAAACGCTGGTTCTGAAATTATAATACTTCGAAATTTCAAATGTCTGAAATTCTGAAGTCCTGAAAAAAATTTAGTACCAACCACGAAACCCGAATTCCAGCCAACAATCTGCACTTCCACATGTCCTCCTTCTCCGAATCCACTGGTCTCGGTTACCTCAAACAATCGGCTCCCGAATTCGTCAACTACAACAAGCGCCAACCAAGCAGAATCTATCCAAAAGGAGCGCGTGTCGATTCTTCCAATTTTCTACCGCAAATTTTTTGGAACGCTGGTTGCCAGATGGTATCACTCAATTTTCAAACGCCCGATGTCTACATGCAGTTGAATATGGGAAAGTTTGAATACAACGGTGGATCTGGGTATCTTCTGAAACCAGATTTTCTACGAAGACCTGACAGGACATTCGACCCATTTTCGGAGAGTCCTGTTGATGGTGTCATCGCCGCACATTGTAGTGTTAGAGTAATTTCTGGTGAGTTCAAACACTCACAATCTGAGAAAAAAAAATAAATTTTTCAAGGCCAATTTCTATCGGATCGAAAAATCGGAACATACGTGGAAGTTGAAATGTATGGACTGCCTACCGATACGATACGGAAAGAGCACAAGACAAAAGTGATCCCGGGAAACGGACTGAATCCAGTTTACAACGAGGACCCATTTGTATTTCGAAAAGTTGTGCTTCCCGAGTTGGCGGTTCTTCGATTTGCCGTGTACGATGAAAATGGAAAACAATTAGGTCAGCGAATTCTGCCGTTAGATGGCTTGCAAGCCGGATACAGACACATCTCATTGCGATCCGACACCAATCAGAGCTTCATTTTATCACCGGTGCTATTCGTTCAAATCGTTATCAAAACTTACGTACCTGATGAGTTGAGCGGTCTTGTAGACGCTCTCGCTGATCCACGTGCATTCCTTTCGGAACAAAAGAAACGACAGGAGGCGCTGGCACATATGGGAGTAGATGATAGTGATATCCCAGACGTCCCTAATACAAAGAATATGGCGCTGAGAAATATGAAACAACCACCAAGGCAAAACGGATCGTCGGCTGATTTATTGTCGAATAACACGCAGCCTGGAAGTGCGAGAAGTGAAACAACGCCAACGTTGGGAACGAGTGCCATCAGATCGCCCAATGAGCAACCGGCACCCGTGGCTGTTGATAAGTTTAAGGTTAGTGAAGGAAAAATGGTTAGGATCAGATCCATTGGTCGAAGGGTCAACGGACCACCAGCTGGCTCCGCGCGGTCCGTTTAAAACTCGTCCTAATGAATGCTATACAAATTAAACTGACTATTAAGATTATGAAAAATACCATAAACGTTTATTTCTGTCTCTGAAAATTAAGAAATTCAACTAAAAGGTTAAATAAAACTATCAAGGCCCTGGCAAACCTGACCCGAACATTCACACGAAAATCAACGTCTGCGCCTCCGCCGAAAATCGGAATTGCTCATCCACCAGCAGGCACTGCGAAGCCTTCAACATCCGTCGGGGCACCAGAACGGCTTCAGGTCCAACTAGTATTTCCCCTTCAAACTCTTCTTCCATTTTTGAAATTTCATAGCAAAAAATTCTGCAACTCGGAGAATGACCTTATCCCCTGATTGTGAAACCATTTTCTAGTTTTTTGCATTAGAGCGAGCTTGACAAAGTTTTGTAAATTTTCAGGTTGACCCAATCGAAGTAGACGATTTGAGACGAGACAAAGCGTTCGCGAAACTGCTCAAAAAGTTCCAGAAAGATCTGGACGATCTTCGGAAGAAACATCAGAAGCAGAGGGATAGTATTCAGAAGCAACAGGTATTTTTTCAAATAGTTTTATCTATTTTCACTTAGGTTTCACCTGATTTTCACAAAAAAAAACTCACAATTCTAGCAGCTGTAAACCCAAGCTTCACACACAAATTCACCAATATTCTGATTTTTTTCTCTCTTACCAACCAAACAAATTCAATATTTTTTATCCTTTGTCAGCTTCGGCAGATTTGATAGAATGTACACTAGTTTTAGAAGTTTTCTTGCTGGCTTCTAGAAATTATCTTTTTTCAACTTATCTTATTTTTTCTAATTATGACCATTTAGCCGGCACGCCGCCGTAATTCGTCTATAGCGTGGATCGTAAGTTTATTGTGTTGATTCCAAAAAAATTTTTGAAGGCGGGGAGTAGTTTTCTAGCTCCCCGCTTGGGTTTTAGGTCACCGAAAAAAATTCCATGTCACCGCTATGTGCCTTGAAACTCTCTTTTTCTCTTTTCCTCCTGGGCTCCCTCTGGAAATCTTCTTTGGTTTAACAGTGCATCAAATTTAAGAACCAACTAATTTCCGCTTACTTTTGAGTTCATTTTTTCTAATTGATTTTTTGTCCTATATTTCCACAATGTCCCATTTGTCCCATTTGTCCTAAAAGTGTCCCAAAAGCTTTGTGTGCTTTTTTCAATCGCTAAAAAAGTTCTCCATTAATTCTTGGTTTCAGCCTAAAAATCGGTTTTTTCAGCACCTGGTTGTTTTTTTTCCCGTTCCCCCCGGGGGAATTCCCAAAAATACCAATTTTGTGACAGTTGCATTTTGCCCATGTTCCCACACGTTCTGTACCAACGAACCGCCCATATTTTTACAGCAAACCAACGTGGATAAGCTTATTACCAATAACCGGCGCTCCACAAAGAAGGAAAAGGGTTCGAGACGATCGCTAACGGCTTCAGTGTCTTCTGGATGTGGATCCACTTCTGGAAGCATTCCAGTAGGCGTTTGTATACCATCAGGTCCATGTGGAAGCGGTAGCGGTGCTCCGTCGACACCAGGAGGATGTGGTTCCGATGGAACCGGGTCACCAGCAACCACTGGAAGCCCAGTTCCGCACGACCTTATTAACAACGATAGGGTATTATCGATAGAGCGCACTTGCCTTTAAAAAATTGTTTGGTCTTTAGGTCCGCTCTCTTGTGAACACCCAAACCGGCGAGTGGTCGGCAATGGTTCGGAGACACGACGAAGAGGAATTTGAGCTCAAAAAAGGGCAGCTCAAAGAGCAATTCGATTTGTTAAAGTAACAGTTTTGAAAAAGAGGATAAGCTCCCCAAAAAAATGTTTTCAGGAAACTGATGAGTGAGGCGCAGAAAAATCAAATGCAGGCGCTGAAACTTCGTCTGGAAGCCGAGGGAAAAGATCTGAAGCAGACGCAGACGAAGAAGAGTATGGAGGATGTGAAGGTTATTCAGCTGGTGGGTCCATTAGCTAGATTTCGGTGGAGAAATGTTGAGTTTTGTAGGACAAGGGTATCAAGACCAAGGCCGAACGCGATCGACGCATCAAGGAGCTCAACGAGAAGAACTTGAAGATGTTTGTTGAGGAGAGAAAGAGATTAGCTATGAAGTGAGTTCATTCTTAGAAATTCAAGAAGGTGGCCAGGAAAAATTGATTATCTTGAAATTTTGTTTATGAGCATGAACAAAACTTCGAGATACCCTAAACTTGCACTTTCAGCTCAATTATTTCAATTTCTATAAGAGATATCAAAAAACTGTCAACTGTTATAATGCTGATGTCAGTATGATAAACATTTTATCAGTTAATCACTTTTTGATATCTTTCAAAGAAACTGAGATAATGGAGCTGAAAGTGCAAGAATAGGGCGGTCTTGTGTTAAAGTGTTTGTTAGAGAACATTATGCTCGAATTTTTACTTTTTGACTGAAATGATACTCAAACTTTTTCCATCAATTCCCATATTTTTCAGAGCTCAAAAACACGAGGAACAGCTCATCAAACGGCACCTGGACCAGCTGGAACAACTAGAAAAAGACTTCCAGAAAGCATTGGAAGCCGAAGTTGGCAACTACAAAGAAGAACAACTGGCTGCTCAACCCACTTCTGTTGTTTGAATTTGAAATTCCTCTAACCCCTCCCCTATTTTTGTTATGGTAACTTTGTGTACATTCCATCAGTTTTAAAATGCTAGTCTTTTATTGAATAAACAGGTCCGTAGGCAATACTTCAAAACCTCAAAACTCCCGACTTCCTCCCTTTTGATCACTTTTTTGTTTTTTTTTTTGCGATACACAGATTTCAGAGAATCACTTCTAGAAAACAAAACAAACAAAATGCTTAATTTTATTATTCCCATTTCCATGCATCCCGATTCAGTGTTCATTTTCCATTCATTCCATTTTTTTCGCAATTTTTGGGTCAACTATTTTTACTTGATTTTTAAGATTCTTTCCTAGTGGTACACCGACTTTTTTTTCAAAAAATTTAAACTTTTTTGAGCAAATTTTTTTATGTGCACTCTCTTTTTTGCCACTATCCCTTCGTGTCCTTTTTCTCTCCCCCCGATTCTGGTATTTTTCTTTTTTTTCTTTCTATTTTTTACTTTCAGTAAATGGATAATATAATTTAAAACTTTTTTTTTGACTTTAAGAATTTCAGAATCCCAGAATTTCGGATTTTGGAAATTTCAGAGCTTTTGAATTGTGTCGCGGCAGCAGTAGTCCTCCTGCACGACTACAAACTACAACCAGTTACAGAGACTCCACGTGTCTCAAATACAATAAAATATTTCAACTAATAATCTATTCCCGTGAACTCCAACGTGATCAATCCCTTCCAATCTTCCAATCTGCCCTGACCTCCACGACCTCCACGTCAAGGTCCGCCCCCTCAGATGGCTATAAAAGGGAACGAATTCGACAGAAAGATCAGTTTACTTCTCTTTGAAGGACGACGCCCAACTGCTCTCATCTCAACTCCCATCTCGTCTCCAACTGCTCAAATGACCGAACAACCGAAGGCTGGAAAGAAAGCTCCTAGAACCGCTGGCAAGACAAATCCACCTCGAGTCTGGGACCACCGCCCTTAGAGTAGGAGCAAATTGGGCCTTCGGAATTTGTTTTGAATCCTGGAATCTTGGAATTTCAAAATTTCAGAACTTCAGATTTTCAAATTTATTAGTCTCACATTTCGGAATTCCGCATTTCCGAATTTAGGAATTTCAAAATTTCGGAGTTTCGAAATTTTGGAGAATCGGAATCTTGGAATTTCGGAAATTTTGAATCTTCATAAATTGAAATCCCGAAATCTCCTTTCTCGTAGTCTTAGAATCTTGGCATTTCAGAATTTGGAAACTTCGGGGCATTCGATATTATTTTAGATTTTCGGAATTTCGGAACCTTGGAATCTCCGAACTTGGCAATTGCAATCTTGAAATCTTGGAATCTTGCAATTCTAGAATCTCACAATTATTTGAATTTCTGAATTTTCAGAAAGTTAGAACTTCAGAATCTGAGAATCTGGAAATTTTTGATTCTCAAAATCCTAGAATCTTAAAGTTTTAGAATCTTGGATACTTGGAATCTTCATATTTTATAATGCTATGGAATGTAAATACACAAAAAGAAATAAAGTTCAATATGAACTAATTTATTCATTTTTCATAGCCGACAACTCCCAAAAAAAGAAATAATTTACTTTTCAATTTTGTAGCATTCGTACATTTGAGCATTGACCACTTTTGGTGCATACTGCTTACAGCAATTCCATTCTTTCGATGTCATTTTCTTGGACAAAGCAGTGCAAACTTTGTTGACAAATGCCTTCGTGACCATTGCGATGCAATTACCGTACACTTTGTTCATGCAAGCAGTCTGCTTAGCTGTTCCGGTCTGCTTATTGTTGGCTTTGCAGTTCTTCAGAGTGTTGAGAGCCTTGTTGATTACTGGTTTGCACTGATTGATGAATGGGGCGGATAGCTTGTCGAGAAGAGCCATAAGATCGGTACAGCCGTTGACTGAAATTATATAGGATTTGAAATTTGAACCTAAAAACGGATAAGTCGAATTTTTTGAGGTATGGTATGTACTCTGACGTCATGGTGTACAGTAATCGGTGTTCTCAGCGTGGCTATCGTGCCGCAATCTACGGTTGCTCAGCCTTGCGCTACCGTAGCTCAGCTAAAAGCAACGTGGCATCTCAAACGGTGGGCCCACAAGTTCCAACTTCTCTAGGGGCTTACGTTTAGAGAAATTGTTTATGTCCCCCTCCTTCAAACTCAAAAATTGAATCCCAAAACTCACATCCATTGTACAGCGACAATGCAGACAAAGCCTTATTCATACTGTTATTGATCACACAAGTTTTGCATTCTGGAATTTTGAAATCTTACAACAAATTCTGGTATATTTTAACCTACTGGACACAAGCTCCTTGTCATATGGATCATTGTAGAAGTGACCATCAGCACAGGTGAGGATCTAGAAATTAAGGAGTTATGGACCATAACTTATGGTAAATTAGAAATTTCGGCTCACCGGTTCCAACTCTTTGGCTGTATAAAAAGTGACACCTAGATTGACAGCTTTGGTACAAACTGCCGCCCGATTGTTGGCATGAACAGTTGCAATAATAGCGACTAGTGCAACCAGAATACGGTACATTTTTAAAATATAAAATCCGCGCCATGGGTTCTCTTTTATACCAAACAAATTTTTGTAGCGAACTTATTAGAGTCGGATTAACAACGTTTTTTTGTGATTTTAAAGAGAAAAGTTTTTTTTGTACTAAGCGGGGGTGTAAAAGATCAACGGATGGGGATAACGGTCGAAAAGTTCAATCATCAATTGAATCGACCCTAGAAAATCAAACAATTTGAACTCTTTAAAGGAGAGGTCCATCAAGGAGTTAAACTGACGGACCCACTGTTGGAGATGTCGCGTTACAGTAGCCGATGTCGTGTATGATCACAATAGCCACGCACCGTGTGAACACCGATTACTGTACACCCTCCCGTCTGAATGCATACTCTATATTAATCAACCTTCCCTCTATCTAAAGTTTTCTTATATTCAGATTTCAACAACTTCAAATTAATTCTAATTTGTCATACTGTAGTCTAGAGCAATTGAAACAAAAATCAAGTTGACCAATCACCAAAGTAGGAACATAATCCAGATTAATAAACCTTTCGAAATTCCGTTTCTTTCTGTTGATCACAAATCATTCTACAGTATATAAAATGAACACCAATTGGTTGAAAATTATTCATTTGGCTCTTTTTGTTGTTTTTCCACAAATGAAACTTACAGTTTGCTGTAAAATGCTGAAACGGCTTTTAATTGGAATCCATTCTCAAAATTCTGCATTACACAAAAAATTTTTTGTCATTTTCAGTTAGAGCGTATGGCCTCACGACCTAAAAATTAGCTGAAAAATCTTTGATTGTTTTTGATGACAGGTTTTCCGGAGTTTTTAAAAAAAGTTACTGTATCCAATCTGACGTGCCCGTGCACAGTGAGGCATTCACAAAGAGTGCGACTTTCTTGAACGATATACGTCGTCTGCGCAGTTTGCGCCACCGTAGCTCAGTTTGTGGCGGCGTGGCCTCTTCATCAATGGTCCCACAAATTCAACTTTTCGAGTGGCTGTGTTGTCGAATCAAAAAAAAACTGAGACCTGAGAATTTGAAAACCTACGCTTTTTTAATCTACAAAAATGCGCGGCAAAATCGTAATATTTCAGACTTTCGCAATCAAGTTGGGGTTTTTTTTATGAAAAACAGATTCTAGAATGCTAGCGATCATTTTCATACCAAGAAATCTAAGTTTCTTTCAGAAAATCCCACTAAATCCACACAAATTAATTTCGTATGATACTGTAGTAATTTTTGGGCGAGGCCCCGTAAATCGGTCCGCGAAATCTTCCAGATCCCAGTTTTTATGTATCAAATTTCGAGAAAATCTTTCTTATCATCAAGAAAAAAGAGCTATAACTATTGTTGAGAGACGGCTTCTCTCTAGGAAAATTGTAAAAATCCAGGTTCTTCTGCAACTATTCACACAAAAAATAGAAACAACTTCAGAAAAAGTTCATTCATTGTCTATTGAAACCCAGCATGAGAAATTTCGATATTCAACAAGTTTCGATGCCAATCACGAAATTTAGGTCTTCACAATGTTGGCGCAGGCATATCCGGCCACATTGACAACCTTTGGTGCGTATTCCTTGACGCAGTTCCATTCCTTGGCGGTCATTTTCTAAACACAATTTATTAAATTCACTTCTCAAAATTTTCTGATATTCTACAACCCCGCATTGAGGATTTTGTACCCCAATGACCCCAAATTATGATTTGCCCGTTCTTAGCACTCACTCCAGCCAATGCAGTGCAAACTTTGTTGATGTAAACCTTGGTGACAATGGCGATTCCCTCTCCGTAAGCTTGGTTAACGCATGCGGTCTGCTTGGCGGTGCCGGTCTGCTTATTATTCTTTTTGCAGGCGTTGAGTGCGGCCAATCCCTTGTTGATCACTTGTTTGCATTGGTTCATGAATGGAGTGGTGAGCTTGTCAAGCAGAGCCATTAAATCGGTGCAACTATTGACTGGAAAAAATATAGTGTATTTTCTCAGACTCGAATATTCTCAGTTCTGGTAAAAGGTATATGTAAATGAAACTAGAAATTTTTAGTCGACGATTTCTTGATACCTTGTGAAAACCAGGCTATTTCATTGTCTTACTGTGACCGAGCCTCTTTCCCATTGCTCTACCCCAGAAACTTACATCCACTGTACAGCGACATTGCGGCAAGAGCCTTGTTCATACTGTTGTTGATCACGCATGATTTTCCCTCTGAAAAATTTCTGAAAATTACTGAAAATTCTAGAACCACAAACTAACTCTCAATAAGAGCCTTGGTGTCTTCAGGCGTGGAATAAAGTGTCGGCTCGATACATTGAAGGATCTGAAAATCTAATTTATCTAGAAGTCTAATACTCATTCACATACTGGTTCGCATTCCTTGGCTGTGTAGAAGGTAAGACCCATATTGACGGCTTTCACGCAAACTTTGGCTCTGGTGGCCGCTGCGGCGGATACGGTAGCCACACCAACAGAAGAGACCAAGAGGAGTGTAGCGAGAAATTTGGCCATTATCTGGAAGAGAGCAATATTTGGGGAAAAATGGGACAAGTTAGAAAATATTGGCATAGGAAAAAAAAAGATGATCCGACTAGACAAAAAAGGAATTATATGCACTCAATCAAAATGAGCGAATGAACTGAAACAAAAAATCGCTGGGAGACACATTTTTTTATCCTCTCCACTCGCTCACTGATCCTGCTTTTATAATCATCCCAACCCAATCGTTCAGTTATTTTTTGTCAAGAGGATTATCACAAGGCGGAGAGTGAGGTGAAAAACGAAAAATCGGAGGTACAACGGTCACCAAATCTCTTTTTTTTCGTTTCGTGGAAAGAGTTTGAAGTGAACTTGGATGATAGTTCTGGGAAGGTTGAAAGATTTAGTCGTTTGGGCTGAAAACAAAACTTAAAATTTGGGAATCGCTGAGAAAAAACAAAATAATAAAATTGAACAGTTGGTCTATTAAATGAGGGTAAAAAAAACATTTTGTGGAGTTTTTTTGTAGTTGCGGTGTGCATTTTTTGGTGTTCAGTGATCGGTGTTCACACAATGCGCGGCTACCGTAGCTCAATCATGAGCTAGCTCAGCCGGTAGCAGGGTGGTACATTCAGCGGTGGGTCCAAAAGTTCAACTCCACGAGAGCTTATATAAACGAAACATGGAGACATGTTGACCGTAAAACCTGTATTAGAAGAGTTCCTTTAATAGAAGCGCTCTCCAGAGCTACCATGGAACAATAGGAGGGCAGACCTCCGCTCCACGGTAATTTTTCCTGCCCTCCTTCTTCAACCAAATGACATACGTCCGTACGATTGTCTTGAAGTCCAGATGTCCTCGTTATCAGATGACTAGAGAGCTGGTGTTTTAACAGAGCCTATTTTCTAATTATCAAACTTTTTCATGTTTCCTTTTCCAGAAACATCTGCTCATTCAGATTTCTAGATGACTCTTGTCATTCTTCTATAAGTGATCAATCTTCCAATGTTTCAAGATTTATGTTTAGAATGTCCGGATGTCCCCAACCCACATAATCCATGATCTCTGACACCTAGGAAGTACAATTGTGTGACAAATGGATTTTCGAGTATAACGGTACTTGGTAACTCTCATACAAATCCGATCAATTTTAGACTACTCTTGTTTCAATATTTCACATCAAATCGAATGAACAAAATATGAACGAAAAACTCCACCATTCTTCTGAACCTACAAAAATTGTTCCAGAAAACTCGAAAAAAAAATCAAAAGCTCATCAAAAATTTATTCACTAAAACGGGAAGGTCAAATTTGAGAGGCGCCAAAATTTCTGGCTAAATTTTTGCGAATCACTTATTTCACAATGTTATAGCAGGCATATGGTTTCACATTGACAACCTTTGGTGCGTATTCCTTGGCACAGTTCCATTCCTTTGCGGTCATTTTCTGAAAAAAGAACAAAATTGGGTGAATTCGAGATTTTTTACTTCCTGGTCACATTGAAAATCATAGATGCACAAATAAGCTCAACAATTGAAATGTATTAACTCACTAACTCTGAATAACTAACTAACTTAACTAACTAATGATGTAACTTTGAATTTACAAATTTTGAAAATCCGCAAATTTGAAAATTCTCCAAATTCATGTAAAATTGATAGTAATTCTTCAACTAACCTTGGACAACGCGGTGCAAACTTTGTTAACGAAAGCCTTGGTGACCATAGCCATACACTGTCCGTAGACGTTGTTGATGCATGCGTTCTGCTTGGCGACACCAGTCTTCTTGTTATTCTTCTTGCAGTTGTTGAGAACCTTGAGTGCCTTGTTGATCACTTGTTTGCATTGGTTCATAAATGGAGTTGTGAGCTTGTCGATGAGAGCCATTAGATCAGTGCAACCATTGACTGGAAAAATATGTTGTGTTTTCTGAAGCAAAAAAGGTGTTTTCCTCCCCATTCGTGTCGGAAGAATTAGTTTTCTTCTGTCATACGCTAAATTCTACAATTAGTAAAGAACAACTGAAATGTTTTACAGGTTTTAATTGTTGTGTTTCCGTGTGGGGAAAAGTATGGTAGACTATTCCAGAAAAAAAAAACATACAATTCTCGAAATTTTGTTAGTATAGCGTAAATACTGTAATATAACGGCATGGCGTTCTATTTTTCGGGTGGGTATTTCGAGGTGATGCAAGGTAACAAAAATTGATGTTCTGCTTGATTATCACAATAAGAAAACGGTCTGAATGTTTTAGATTCATTTGCTGATGTTTGAATCAAAACGTTGTTTTGTTCAATCCAATCATCTCATTACGGTGGCGTTGTAAATTGAATTGGGATTTTCTAGTACAGGTGGCGTTATATTACCGTTTTTACGGTAAGCCTCTCGAGGAGTTGAATCTTAAGTTCCCACCGTTGGATATGCCGCGTTTCTACCAGCTGAGCAACGGTGGCTCAAGCTCGCCGCCGATTAATGTCATATCATGCACATCTATCGTATCGCTTTCATATAAAACATAAATTGGCTCGGGCTACCGTAGCTCAGCTTTTAAAGACGCGGCACCTCCAACGTTGGGTCCACATGTTAAACTCAATGAGTTATATGGACGAAATTATGAGAAAAGTAATTTTTTATGTCTGAACTCCGCCCAGCTCACTTTTAAGGACATTATCGTACCATAAACAGTTTTGCCGGTGATATTTTTCCGACATAATTTTTAAGTGTCTAGGATTACAGTAACTTTTTTAAATACGTCCGAGACATTCTTCCTTCACCCAAACTTACATCCACTGTACAGCGACAATGCTGGGATAGCCTTGCTCATACTGTTATTGATAACACACGACTTTCCCTCTGAAAAGAAAGCTTTCATTTTCAAGAATTTCTACAAAACAACGTACTGTCGATAATGGCGCTAGTGTCTTCTGGAGTATTGTACAGTGTCGGCTCAATGCATTGGAGAATCTGGAAAAAAGTATATTTAAGAATACCTAAGAAATGTATTACCGGTTCCAACTCCTTGGCTGTGTAGAAAGTGACACCCAAGTTGACAGCTTTTTGGCAAACTTTGGCTCGATTCGGAACTTGTGCTGACACGGATACCAAGCTGATTGAGGAGACCAAGATGACTGTGGCAAGGATTCGGACCATGTTCTGAAAGTTTAAAAATTGAGAGACCATAGTGAAAATTGGATGAGAAAAAGGTATTTAGCTGAATTGAAAAGTTTCCAAGCTATTGAAAATATGAATAGGTCTGAAATCCTCGGAATCATCTTAATTTTGTACCTATTTTCTCGGTTTCTGTAAGAGATGCCAAATATTTGTCAACTGATAAAATATTCGTTTAACTTTATGACAAAAGTCTTATCAGCTAAGTATCTTACTTAGAATCCAAACGACTTCTAAAATGGTCACAATTCTTTTTTTTTTTTTTCACAAATTGCAAAAAAAAAATCAAAGAATGACGAATCTCTCGAACGACGCTGCGATTTTTAAAAGAGAGATGGTGAGATTACTGTAGTTTTACATAATACGGATTTATCATTTTTTTGTCTAAAAAAAGAGGATTATTGCCACAGTATACCAGGTCATTTATGGGGATAATGACACATATGCCTAGTTTTAAAATACGGTTTTTTTTGGATTTTTGATGATGGTTTGAAAAGGACAAAAATAGATCAACAGAAGATTTGGAGCGAAATTGGACTTTAGCGCGGAAGTTCAACAAAACGATGATATGAATATGAGTGGGAGGAGTTGGACTTTTGAATTTTCATAACTTGCTCAAATTTCAGAATTTTCAGAATCCCAAAATGTCCTGGAATTCTGGAGCTCTGGAAACATGGAGTTTTCGAAAACTTCAAGTTTCCTGAGTTTCCTCAAAATTTTGAACGTCTTGAAATCACTTTCAGAGAATTCCTGGAAATTAAGGGTTTGGAGTAAAATCGATTTTCCAAAAGTTTTCGACTTTTCTAAAATTTCGAATCAGATTTGGTAAGAGTTTCAAAAAAATAGGGAAATTCTGAATTTTTGGAATTCGGTACAACATTCTGAATTTTCCTAAAGTCTCTTTTATTCCAGATTGTCTGAACTTCTGGTTGGAACTTCGTGAGTCTTCTATTCAATTTTCTAAGATTTTTCACCTTATGGAAACTTTAGGGCTACAGATTTGGATCTATTTTTGGAATTCGTAACCGTTGTTTTGGTTATCCAAGTTTCTAGAAAAAAACTGCGACATTCAACATGTTTTCTTTGAAAAAAAAGTAAAAATGAATATTTTGTATAAAAAAGAATATACAGTAATCCTTGAAATATGATTTATTTCCTCCTCCCATTGCTCATTTTATACCATCTTCTTCCACTTTTAATAGTCTCAACAAAGATCATCTCTTAGCTTTTCTCCGCCTACACGTGCCCATAAAATGTTACTGATGTGTCTCATTTCATACAGTATTCTGAATAATGATGATCAGTTTCCAATTCTGGTCAGATAATCCTCCATGAGATTTGGATCATACTAACTACACAGATTTTTTTTGAAAATCATAAAAAATGAAGGAGAGGATATTAAACTTTTGAACACCTACTTTTTTTGTTCAGAGACAATTCTGTAACTTCGAGTTTCACATTTCAAAACCTGGAAATTTCAGAAAAAAGTTCATAGAGTTTAGTAACTTCGAAGAGATTTTTTTTCTAGATGAAAATAAATTACTTTATCATATCAGCCAAAAACTTCATCACAAAACAATAATTTTCGGTTCCTCAAAGTTTAAGGCCAATAAGTAAGTTTGATATTCAGTGTTAAATGTCCCTGAGTGATTGGGAAAATGTTGATTAACATCCAGAATCGACAAACACTTCTGGGGCTGTATTCATGAAATTTACTTTTGTAAATCATTTACTCTCAAAAAATCAACTGAATCATTTACCAAAAGGTAAATGGAAGCGTGAAAATGTACTGAAAATCTTTTTTTCTCATTTGTAAATAGTTTTCCTGTTTTTTAGATAGGAAAACGACTTTGAACTAGAATTTCTCAACTACTTTAAACTGAAAAAGTTCATTTTTTGAGACATTACTTTAAATTGAATGCTCTATCCATTCATGTCATTTGTATTAAAAGTCATAATTTTCGAGTTGAACCGAAACGAAATATCTGTTTAAAGTTATATAATATTGATGTTACAATACTATTCTTTCCATACATAACTTTTGGAATGAAAAGTTTCCAAAAAGTGGTTGTAAACAGTAAACGAAATTAGTACCCCTATTTACCAAAAAGAGGGGCATTTACCTAAAAGTAAATGATTTCTCTTAAATTTTCACGTTTTTCAGTTGATTTTTGAGAGTAAATGATTTACAAAAGTAAATGTTCATGAATACGGCCCCTGGATGTGAAAAATCGGTAATAAAAATATATAAAGTATGAGCAATATGCGTTTTTTTCTCGTTGTATTAGGTTGGAAGGAAAGTAACTGTCCATTTTTTGATTCGTGAATAACAAAAAAACAAGAATTATCCAAGATTGACAGTATGCACCGTCGTTGGCCAAGACATGCTGGCAACACTCAGGTAACTTGTGGATACCATCCCTCCAAAAGCCAGCTGGCCGCGCCTCAAAGTATTTTTTCAGTCCAGATTTTATCTCATCTACAGTGTTTAAACACCGTCCAGCTAAAGCAGCCCAGCTCTTACTTGACTTTCCGTGAAACATAGGATCTCGCGTTATTTGAGGAAAGTCAATTCAGTCTTAAGCCGCTTCGGATGAACGGGTGTCTACATTTCTTAAACACCAGACTTGACCTTTTTGTTATTGGTTATTCTGAAACATGCAAAGTCATCTGGAGGGAAAATAATTTTACACTGTCGATGAGATAAAAACGGCACTGAAGGTATGCTTTGATTCGCGGCTAACTGCCTTTTGGAGAGATGGTATCCACAAGTTACCTGAATGTTGTCAAGATGTCGTGGACCACAACGGAGCAAACTGGATAATTCTTGTTTTTTGTGTTATTCACGAATTAAAAAATGGACAGTTACTTTCCTGCCAACCTAATAGTCGGATGGCTCTCTGAAAATGTATCATTTATACGAAATGCGTCTGCAGGTGCATTTTACTATGTACCTAAAGTGAGATTTTCTTTTAGATCAAAAATTATCCTTTTTATTTACAACCACTATCAATAAACATTTCTGGGTGTGAAAAATCGACAGTTAAAATGTCCAATGTTCGAGCCACATGAGTTTTGTCGCGAAGTTGTCGGATGGTTCTCTTAAAAATTAAAGATTTATCGATTGCCAAAGTTGTTTCATCTCATGAAAATCACAACAGCATGCGGCGTGCCGTCTTTGGACAATCATAACAATACTTATTTTTGAGAAACTGCTTTAAAAATTTCACTAGCCTTGAATCAAACGTAAAATCTACAAATTTTTGTGCTTCCGAGATACTTCTGTCTAAAGATCTATCCGTTTTTATCAGCCTGGGTAATCTGGCTCTTTATGGTTTAACGGGGGTTTATTATTTAAACGGGGCTTTTGAAATTTTAAGGGGCTTTGAGAATTAACGGGGGTTTACATATTAGACAGGGGTTTTCAAAAGGTGTCAGGACCATGTTTAAGGAAGTACCCAAAATGTTCCAAAGTGCTTCATTTTCTTGTTTTTTGCTTATTTCAGTTGACTTCTTCGTTTTTATCAGTCTTTTGATTGTTTATTTCCCTGATTCCCAAACCATGATACTTTTCTGTTTGAAAATAAAAGCAAGATTCAAAGTAGGAAAGATCGGTTGAGGTGTTGCATGTAAACGGTTTGGAGGCTTTCAGAGCTGATAGAAATGAGCTGAAACTAACAAGAGAAGGAAGGGTGGTGCCAAACTTTTTAAACATGAAAGAAGACAAAAAAAGAAAAAAAGTGATTTGAAAAACGAAGAAGTCAACTGAAATAAGCAAAAAACAAGAAAATGTAGCACTTTGGAACATTTTGGGTACTTCCTTAAACATGGTCCTGACACCTTTTGAAAACCCCCGTCTAATATTTGTACCCCCGTTAATTCTCGAAACCCCTTCAAAATTTCAAAACCCCCGGCTAATATTTAAACCCCCGTTAATTGTTTGAATCCTCGTTATACCATAAAGAGCCGGTAATTTTACCCCAACCTGTATAAATCTTATCGCATGCATAAATAATTACCTGAATTTCTCGGTTAATTTTCAAAATCTGGGCCAATCGTCCTGCATAATTTTTGTCTTTCCAAGACTCTCTGGTATAATATTTATGAATATCATCTGCCAGAACTTCTTGAAATCTCTCACAAATTCCAGCGATTTCTGTTCCCGAAAATCGATTTTCCGCATATTCGAAACACAATTGAGCCATCATAAAAGATAATTCGATTTCCGATAAATTCAATTTATGAATTGCATTGACACCTTCTTCAATTTTAGCGTTCAAATTTTCTCCGAATAAAAAGCTGAATTTGAGATTTTTAGGGGATTCCAAACTTTCAAAAAAAAAATAAACAAAAACTAAAATACCGTAAAACCTGTATTAGAAGGGCCTGTCCTTCTATTTTTCGTTGGGTCTCTAGAGGGGCACTTCAATTAGAGGGGCCCTTCAATTAGAGGGGGCAGTTGTATTTTTCGTGGGTCCTCTGAGAACGGATCTATTGGAGAGGCATCATTTCTCAGTGAAAATTTCGTTTTTCTACTAAAGCAAAAGCACCAATATTATCAAAAAATTCAAAAAAACTGGTACCTGAAAATTGTGCGGGCGCCGTTCGTGTCGATTTACGAGGCTTCGTCCTTGACTACATCATTGTATCAAACGAAATTAACTTTTTTGAATTTAGTGAGATTTTCTGAATAAAATTCAGAATTCTTGGTAAAATTTTGATCGTTAGAATTTCTGGAATTTTTAAATCGAAACTCCATGCTTGATTAGGAACATTGCTCGAACGAGAAAAACATCTGTATTAGAGCAACGGCATTCAAATTCTCAGGTGTCAGCATTTTTTTTAAATTAGGCAGTAATTCAAAACAACAGAAAAACGGCTGAAAATCAAAGGAGCTCCAAAGGTTCCTACCCGCGATGCCGTGAAGGAGGTAGTCAAAGGGGCACTTCAATTAGAGGGGCCCTTCAAATAGAGGGAGCACTTCTAATACAGATTTTACGGTACTTACTATTTAACTTGCTCGAAGGAGCAGCTGACCATCCAAGAGACATCAAATTCCGTATCATCCAAGTCCACATAAAAATCATCATGCACATGAAAAACTCGCTGATTTTTGTCCCATTTCCCATTACACAACTTTGCGGTGTTCGCAACTTTCAAAACTCTGGACCAAATGTGCCAAATTGCTTGTAACAGTTGCATTTGCATGCCAGGAGGTAATTCCATAAAACTGTCAAAATGGGTGAAAAATTTTGCTGCTGAAAGAAAATCCGTCTCCCAGATTTGAGTAGCATGGTCCCTATTGGCAAACGACAGTTTTTTACATGTTCTGGACGGTTTTGAAATTGCAAGAGTCATTTTCTCTAATTGACTTTTGCCGGGGTTTAATGGGCTAGGCGAGCCGAAATTCAAAATTTCCAATCCTTGTTTTATCAAATAATTGAGATCGACAAATGTCCTCTCACTTTTCGACAATAATAAAATGTTCGGTCGGCCTAGACAAATTTCAACGGATTGAGGAATATTTTTATCAATTTTTTGGATTTGAAGGTCTGAAAATAGTTTAAAAAATTTTTTTTTTGAATTTTTTTTACTATCTGAAATCATCCCTGCTTGAACACATTTTCTCATTCGACAACTTTTACACGGCGGAGTTTTAAGCCCACGAAAATCGGAGCAATTGTTATTGAGTTTGCAGGATTTGCGAATCCGTTTCGCCAGAATTGCTCGTCTAAACATTTGAAAAAACTTTGAATAATTTTTTGAAAGTTTTAAAATTACCTGAAAAATGCGGCACATGCTCGACAAGTGAATGCTCCGAAGTGAGAGCCGTGAGCCGGTAGTTTACAGATTTCGCAGTAGTTTTGCATTGTTCAGAAATTTTTAGACAAAAATTGTAAGTGAGAACTCAAGAAGACAGTTTCGGAAAGATAAGAGAAGAGCATAAACCACATGAGTTTTAGGACATTGCGAAGTTTTGTTTTTATCTTGTTTGACTTGGAGAGTACATATTTTTATGTACATAGTGGGGTACAAAGAACGAATTTCAAAAATCGATACTTTTCATTCTTAGTCTGGACATTACAGTTCCTCGAAGTTTAGGACCTATAATGTCAATACTGTATTGGAAAACTAGATTTGGAAATTCTGGATAAAATGGTACTGGGTAGTTGTGAGCGTGTTTTTCTGGATGCAACAGTTTTTATTTGACTATGATAATGCATATCACATGGCTAGAAATGTTTATTAACATCCAGAATCTACAAACATTTCTGGATGCGAAAAATCAGCGATAAAAATATCAAAAGTATGAGCAATCAGCGTTTTTTCCCGTTGTAGTCGGATGGCTCTCTGAAAATGAATAGTTTAATTCAAATTGGGTTTTGCATTTTTTGGGAAACCTAATTGAAAAGCGCTCACCTGTAAATGCTGATTAATTTTCATCATCTTCATAATCCTCGACGCATAGTTTCGATTTCCAAACGTATCACTCATATAGTACTCATGAAGATCATTGGCTAGAATTTTCAAAAATCTATCACAAATTCCAGAAAGTTCTGTTCCAGCGAATCGAGTTTCAGCGTACTGGAAGCATAGTTGAGCGGTCATGTAAGTCAATTCGATTTCAGAAAGTTCCATTTTCGCTATATCTTCAATCATCATGTGTGTCTCACAAGCATCAGATCCTGCGCAGAAAAATCTGAAAATAATTTTAAGATTTTTTTTTGAAATTTCGAAATTTGTTAACTTTTTCCAGATACATCTCGCTTTCTGTCATGGATATCAAGAAGAAATTAAGCAAAACATTTTATCAGTGGACAAGTTTTTTATACCTTTGAAAAGGACAGAGAAAATTAGGTCAGGTCAGACTTACGCCATAATTTGCTCAAATGGGTACGGACTGAGCCACGACATATCAATTTTTGTATTCTCCATTTCCACATAATGTTTATCGGACAAATTCATTGTTCGCGAATTTTCTCCTTGCGTTTTCCTAAGCTCCACAGTTTTTCCAGATTTGTAAATGCGTCCAAACACACTCCAGATCGCTTGGAGGAGTTGCATCTGAAAAAAGGGACATCTGGACAAATATACACACATACACAGACTTTAACTTTTTCATGAGAGAATAGTCACTCTGTATTTTTCAGTTACTGTACCTGAATTTTCATTGGTAACATTGTGAATTCCTCCAACTGAGTTAGCCATTTTGCTGCTGTCAGAAAATCAAACTTCCAAACTTCGGAAAAACTATTTTTGCAGATTGTATCTAATTTTTGACATTTTCCAGTAGAATACGTAACTTCTAGGGACATCCTTTCCAATTGCGATAAATTATTGCTCAGCGGAGTTGGAGCTCCAAATTTTAGAATTTCGAATGCGGCGGCTACCAGATTTTTGACATCAACGTAATTTCGTTTTTTAATGGTATTTGTTGTGAAAAGGACCATATTTGGACGGCCCACAAAAATTTCCACAGATCTTGAGACTTTTTGAAGGGCTGAAAATTTTTAACTCCTTTAAATTTATGTATTAAAAAATAACTCACTTTGAGGTTTCATTCCCATTTTGATACATTTCCTCATTCTACAAATTTTACAGGCTGGAGTTTTTAATCCAGAAAAATCGGTGCACAAATTCTCATTTTTACAGGTTTTCCGCAATTTTTTGGATAGTAAGGCTCGTCTGAAATTTTCTATTAGTCGACAGCGTACCTCAGCTACTCTGAACTTCTCACCGAAAAAATGCAGAACATGCTCTACATGAAATGGCTCCGAAATGAAGTCCATGAGCATCGGCTCCACAGATTTGGCACAATTTTTGCATTCTGAAAATTGAAATACTTCTGAAACAGAGGAAAACTTCTAAGGATCTGGATGGTTCGGAAACTAAAGTTTGGAGGAATCTAGAAAAAATGAGACGCCAAGATGTTATTTTGATCATTAAACAAAAAGTTTAGAGGTTGAGAGAAAAGGAAGATAAAAAACCGTGCCCAAGGACACAAATCATAAAATTTTCTGTTAAAAAAAATATAAGAAAAAAAAATTTAAAAAAATACTGTCATAAATGATTTTGCAAGAAATTGAAACTAAAAAAACTAATTTTCAAAATTTTATTTCTTTAGAATTTGAGATTTTTAAATCATATTTTTGTTCCATGAACTCAGATCATGTGTATTTGTTCTGCCCTTTTCTCTAGTTTTATCTTTTTTCTTTCACCGCCTGCGTCTCCAGATTTCCCACAATATCTAATTTTTTCTATCATAGTCAGCACCCTCACACGATCAAAATTTCATCATGATTTTTTTTTCTCTTCAATAAAAATTTATATTTTTGGCAAAATTACAATTTTTGATTTTCGAAAATTCACAAATTTTTGATTTTCTTCCAAATTTATAATTTTTGATTTTTCCCAAATTTTTTCTTTTTTACTATCTTGATATTTTACGATTTTTCGATTTTTTGTAAATTCATATTTTTTTGAAAACTACAGATCTTTAAAGTATTTTTCAAGCTCATTATTTTGCAATTTTCTGCGAATTCACAAAATTACGATTTTCAGATTTTTCCTCTATTTTTCAGTTTCGCGAAATTCTCTCTACTTTTTGATTGTTACCTCAAATATTCAAGTTTCAAAAAATTCCAGAAAAATGAGTCAGCATTTTTCCGACGGAGCCTAATTGATAGAAGTGGAGAAAATTTCAAATGTCTTCGTGGGAATGATAGCTGCCAATTGAAGTATTCGGGAAAGTGAGTATTAACATTTTTGAAACATTTTTGGAAAACACTGAAAATTTAAGATTTCAAAAAATTCAAGAATGCAAATTTGATTTTGAAACGGTTATCTAAAAGTTCTCAATGTGAAAAAAATTTGATATTTGAACTTTTTCAGATTTTACTGTAAAAAATGCCGTCTGAAAAAGTGCTGTGAAGTTGGAATGAACCCGAAATGTGAGTTTCTCAAAAATTCCTGAGTATTCAAATTTTCGGGAAACTCAAGTAGTCAGAAAAAGAATACCTGTAATAGAAGGGCCCCCTGAGTTCAAACTTTGCCCCAATTTGTCTCGGTCCCTGTAAAAGATATAAAAAAGTTGTCAGCTGATAAATTGTATATTATAATATCACAAACATTTTATCGCAGTGTGGGAGCCCTTCTATTACAGGTTTTACGGTATTCGGAATTATACACAGAAAAACCGGACACACTGAAAAACACAAATCCAGAAGTTTCCGAAATTTCGAAAAATCCAAATTTTCCAGATATCCAACACAACCGAGACAAAATAAAATCCTCTCCTTCGCCTCCTCAATCCATATCCACGCTGGTAGGCCGTCCATCCTACATCATTCATTGCTCACCCGTTGCCAACGCCTCCAAAATTACAATAGTGGATGTAACCTATCTAATCGATAAAGCCAATGATTGCTTAGATTACGGGCCGGCCCTTCTCAACAAGAAACTCAAAATTCTGGATAAAATGAACATCGCGAGCGAGTTTTTAGACTCATTTGAGGCTTCAGAGTACTCGAAAATGGACCAGATGACACAGATTTCAGTCTTGGACAAGAATTTTTTCATGCATTTTTGGGAAGTGGACTTTTTGAAAACTGCAAAATGGCTGAGCTTTTTGGATGGATTTGAAAAGATACCAAGGGCAATTCAGGTGAGAATTTATTGATTTTTGAAATTATGTGATTTCTGAATGTTTGAAAATCTATGAAATGCTAAGAATACTAATGTTCTCCCTTTTTTCGCATTTTGCAAGTTCCCAGGAAATTCTGAAATTCTTGAAATTTCCCATTTTCTTTCTATTCTGTTGAATTACCAGGAGATTGAGAAATTCAATAATTTTTCGATATTTCTGGAGTTCTAAAATTCGAAAAATTTATTAGTTTAAAAAAACTAAAAATTTTCGGAATATCAGTAAATTTGAAGTTTTTGAAAAAAAATTCACTGTAGGGAAAAAATTGCAATGAATTCATTTTGCGAGGGAAATGAGTTTCAGAAAACATTTGAATTTCTGAAAAACTAAAAAAAAGAAATTAAATTTCAGATTCAAATCATAATGGCCACGTGGCACCTTCGAGCCAGAATCGATAGGTTGAGCAAAACAGCGAAACTTCGAAAACAAATGAAAATTGGAGAAACAGATTTCATGATGAGTACAAATGCTTGTCTAGATTTGAAGACTTGCAAACTTGATATCTCCTGGTGTAGCGACTATCCGAATGAGCAGATTCAGTTGTAAGTGTTGTTGGTGGCCTAGAGAAAAGTTAAACGACGTGTTGCAGTTTCTTAGAAGGCTCCGATGATTGGGTGCACAACAAGGTAGTAGATCAAATGGAAGAATTGAGTCCGTCGGAAATCGAAATTGCATTTATGACTTGTCAATTTTGTTTTCATTACGCTGGAAAAAGACTTCAAGGATATATTTTAACAGAAATGGAAAAATATCTGGACCTGATTTCCAATGATTTGCATAGGTATTATCAAGAGAATGGAATAAAAAATTATTTGGGACGAATTACTAAAATGATGAAAATCAATAATTGGATTCAGGTTGGTTTTTTGAGTTTTAAAAATCGAAATTTTGAAAAATTGCAGAAAGTGATTTGGGAGAAGCGATGGAAAACCGAGTTGGCTGAGAAATTCAATATATTTTATTTCAAGTTTTCACACCCCGAAATGTTTTATGATTGTTGTTAAGGACTTTTCAGAACCGGTCATTCTTGACTGGTTCTAAAAAGTCAGGTTATGAAATAATCCAAAATAGTGGTTTTGGTTTCTTGAGTTTTCCTATTTGTTTTAATTCTGCATTTCGATTAAAAAAACGATATCATAGAAAAATGGAGACGCAGGGCACATGCAAAGAGTATACATTTTTAAGATTGGCAGATTTTTTTCTGGCTTCAATAAGATGGCAGTTATCATTTATCAAATAAAGATTGTTGTCTGATTTTTCGCCATTTTTGGAATTTCGAAAACGTTTCCTTCTCAAGTTTACCGATTTCGGTGATAATTTTTTTGATTTTTATTTACCTCCAATAATTATTTATCAAACTTTCAGAACATTCAGACATCTTTAATCTGATTTTCTTAGATCCCAGATGAGCCAAAAATTCAATTTTTCAGATGCCAACCTACAAACTGACTTATTTCAACGCTCGTGGTTATGCTGAACCCGCACGTCTTCTTTTCCATTTGGCTGGTGTTCCATTTGAAGATTTTCGTATGACCCATGGAGATGGAACATGAAGGATTGTGAGTTTTGACGCGCCCATAGACCCATAGACCCATAGACCCATGTTAATGGGATCTAGGTTACGAATTTGAAGAAAATGACGAACAGATCCACATTTATACGATATGTTTTTTTTCAGCCACCCCGTTTGGGCAAGTCCCTGTCCTTTCCGTCGACGAAACTGAAATCCCCCCAGTCCATGGCCATCATCCGCTACCTGGCCAACCAATTCGGATACGCTGGAAAGTCTCCAGAAGAGAAAGCTTGGGTGGATGCAATTGTGAACCAATACAAAGATTTCATGTCCGCATTCATGCAATTTGTTTTGGCCCAGCACAATGGAAAGCCTGCGATGGAGGTTGAACGGCTTAAAATTGAAGTTTACGCTCCAGCCAAGGAGACTTATTTGAATATACTGAATGGACTTTTGGAAAAGAGCAAATCTGGATTCTTGGTCGGCAATGGGCTCACTTTTGCTGATTTGGTGGTTGTGGAGAATTTGTTCAGTTTGGAAAAGAATCAGCATTTTGTGGCTGCTGAGCACCCCATATTGTTGGCACTCAAGGAAAAGATTTATGGGATTCCAGCGATCAAGCAGTACGTGGAGAGTCGTCCAGATACTCAATTCTAAATCTTTTCTAATTTGACTATGTTACAATAAATATTTGTTTTTAAAAAAATCTGAAATCGTCGCTTCAAGTTCTTACTGAACCACTACGGACAAAAAATCGAGGAAAAAAATAAGAATTGGAAAATTCCAGGTCTCACCATCTTCGTAATTTATCATAGTTTATCATACAAACAGCATCATAATTTCCTCAGCACAATTTTGTTGAGAAAACTTTTTTCGTGTCCTATAAATCACAAAAATCAGCACGCTTTTTTCTCCGATCCCCCCGAGTGACAATGTAAACATGAGAGATTCAGATGTTCCGAAAAGAAAACTGTGATGTATGGTAAACGTAGGAAGTTGTTATAAATATCGTTTCATGGATTTGAAATTTTATATTTTTCTGAACTTTCGAGAAACCTTTTTTTAAGTTTCAGAATAATAGAAAATTTTAACCAAGTTTTTCCGAGTCGCGAAATAGCCATTTTCACTAGTATGTTGAAATTTGATAGTTTTGTCTTCTTTATTGTGTTCAGCTGACTTTTACAAGTTTTGGCGCCAAAGTTCATTTTTTCAGATGCCAACCTACAAACTGACATATTTCAACGCTCGCGGATACGCTGAACCAGCTCGCATGCTTTTTCATTTGGCTGGTGTTCTGTGATCTAAGAAAAAACATGATTCCCTAACCTGATATCTCTTATAAATCCTAGTAATGGATGATTTTGCATGTTGAATTGAAGAGCCATATCCTTGCGCTTCAGACCCATCTGGATGCCCTGAACGACCGCTTCTTGGACCGCCAAAGTAGACGTTTTGTTGTTATGTTTTCTACCCATCTATAGGAACAAAACTCATTACAAACAAACCGAAAAAAATTGAAAAAAAAACAAAAAAAAGTGAAAACTCTGAAAAACTGAAAAATTCGAAAATATGATTTTTTTAGCAATTGCGCGTCTGATATGGTGTCTGCGGACTTGATATTTTTCTGGAATATTTCTGAGCCTTTCAAAAACATACAAACAAAATTTCAGAGTCCTAGCTCTCATAGTTTTTGAGATACTCTCGAAAAACTAAAAGTTGATTTCTTTTTGTCCGGTACTGTATATGGTTTGTCGTTAATTTCCGTTTTTGGCATCTTTTGGAAAAAAAACAATCATGTGGGAAGTTGTATTAGCGTTCATAGTTTGTACTAGGAATTGAACGAAAATGGTAATGTATTATTAAACGATCGAAATTTCAAAAACTTAAATTCTAGTTCGAAGATCTGATTTCTGATGAAGAAGTTGAGGAAGTTTAACGGTTCTAAACTAAAGTTTATCTTCCGTACAATGCGATTAATTTCTATTTTTTAAATTGTCTTCTGGAAAAGAGCAAGTCTGGATTCTTAGTTGAAGATGGCCTAACTTTTGCTGATTTAGTGATTTGTTCAATTTGGAGAAAAGTCAAAAGTTCGTCTTTGCTGAGCACCAGTGATTGTTGGCTTTTAAGGTGAAAATTCATGGGATTTCAACCATCAAGGAATGGATTGACAGTCGTCCGGATACAGACTTTCAATTTTTTTTAAATGATTCAACAATTCATGCTATTTTTGAGTGACAGGGTACGTTCAATATAAATTTATACATTCAATTCAATAAATTCTAAAACCATGCGATTGCTACTGCTGCTCTTGGGGCAAGAACCACCGGTGAGCTGGCGAGTGTTGTTGTTGGAGTATTCCTAGTGCCGAACACATTTGCAGGGTGTTTAAAAATGCCTGAAATAAGAATTACAGGAACCCAGACAGACTATACAATACCTCGTATGGCATTTCGGTAGTCCGTTACAATCAGCATGAGGATTAGGGAGTCGAGAGGTGGATAAATTGAAAACGAGCACACGATGAGACCAGTTGGAAAGCTCCATTGTAGATTTAGAAATGGTACAGTAAGAATTGCAACAGCTGGGATGTAGAAGGTAAGTGTGGGGGAGGTTATCTGAAAAACACAGTAACCTTGGGTTTCTAATAAGCCGGAAAAAAATTGGAAAAGAGGTTATCATAAAACCAGAAGCTTCCGAAAGTTCGGAAATTAGAAAATACAAGATCCCACACAATATGGATAAATATGGAGTTTGTGAACAACAAACCTGCAACACTAAGCTCTTGAAAAACTGCAACTGAAGTCTTCGATGCGCTTCTGACACATTTTTCAGCATATCATTCATCTTAAAATGCATCTGAAATCCACAATAGCCAACGATAGAAAACTGAATTTCCATCAAGAAAATTATTCCGAAAGAGAACCCGAATGCGTTCCACCGCATGTTTCCTCCTTGGTCCTGGAAATTCGAAATTAAACCTGAAAATTCAAAAAATTCAAATACATATGCGATAACTGTGTAGCCCGACACATGATCGACGTCCAATTCGTAATGCTTTAACATGACGTCTCTAAACAAAATAAAAAGTTTGTTGTACAGGTTGGCTAATGTACCTCATATAGTCCCTTGAGTAGCGATCTATCCAACCGAAGTATAAAACCACTGCTCCGCCGACAAATCCAAAAATTATGGACCAACTAACAAGGATGAGAATTTTGTAGCCTTTGAAATAACCGATCATGGGGCTACTGGAATTTTTCAATAAATTTTAAATATGATAAAAAAATTTTTTAATGAATGTTACCCCATCATCGTCCAATATCTAAACATAAAAAGGACTGTAAAAAATGACACAATGGATACGTAGACCCCAGAATAGGAAGCCACAAGTACAGTAACCAAGTCTTCCGACCATCCGACCCACTTGACCATATTGAAGTTGATCAAACCACCATTATAGGAGTGATAAAACGGATGGACCATCATTTCGATGAATGAGAAAATCAAACAGAGTGTTGCGAATGTTACAATTAGGGTTTTGTAGGTTTTATGGATTTGACGGAGGTGGAAAACGGTCAAAAATATCAATATACTATTTAGGACTACTGTAGCAATAAATCCAGATGTGGAGAAATAGGTAGCCATTTCGTAGATGTGAAGAGACGACATTTTATTATTATTGAAGGTGAAGGAGATGTTTTATGTATATGAAAAATATTGTGTTATGGCTGTATAAACTATTTGGTTTGTAGTTAATTTCCGTTTTGGAATATTCTAGAGAAAATAATTATGCACATGTTACATACACATACACATTAAATACACATGTGGGAGATTATCATACTTGCGCACATTGTTTGTCCTTGAAGTTTAAAAATATGCTAAAAGTACTATAAGAATGTTGAAATGTAAAAAATTTATATGCGAGATTGAAGATCCGGATTCCCGATTTCAGACTTTAGGTTTCTCAATTCCGACTTTCAACGTCTGATTTTCGAATTTTGAATTTCTATTTTTGAACTTTGAGTTCCGAGTTTTTAATTCGGAGTTTCGGATTCCAAACTCGGAATTCGAAGCTTTGAAGTCCAAATTTAAAATTATGAATATCGATCTAGGGTGTCCGATTTCAAATTTTCTGCTTCCGATTTCTGATTCTGGATTTCTGATTCTCGAATTTCCAATTCCAAAAATTTCTAGGTTCCTTTTGCTTCATTCTAGAAATTTAGATGACTGGTTTTTTGAATGTATCTCTCAGCTATCTCATACAATTTTTTTGTTATTACCCCACAAATCGACTATAATTTTCAGCTAATTTCCGTTCTATGTATTACTTTTTTGGTAGACTATTTTTTTTTCAGAAAGAATCTAGTTTTACTATATCTAACTTTGTTTATACCAATATTTATGCAAACTTTTTTATATTAAAATATATAAAAATGCTGGCCCTTCAAATCTACCAAACGGCATCCTATTTCTCGACATCTGGATTTGTAGCCACAGTTCTTCTGAACACTGCATTAGTCCTTTTGACCGTTTATCACTTGAAGAGAATCCACAAAACTTATAGAAATTTAATCGTAATATTCGCCATAATTTCTATAATTTTCTCCATAATCGAAATGTTGGTCCACCCATTTTATCATTCCTACAACGCTGGATTCATATGTTTCAATATGGTCAAATGGGTCGGATGGTCGGAAGACTTGGTTACTGTACTTGTGGCTTCATATTCTGGTGTCTATCTGTCGATGGTCTCTTTTTTCACAGTACTTTTTATGTTCAGGTATTGGACGATGATAAGGTAAGAGATTCGAAAAATATGTAGTTTTTACTAAATTTTAATTTCAGTAGCCCGTTGGTAGATTATTTTGAAGGATACAAAATTCTGATTCTCATGATTTGGCCGCTTGTTTTTGGATTTATGGGAGCTGGAGTGGTTTTGTATATTGGAGCGATAGATAGCTACTCGAGAGACTACTTTAGGTACAGTAGCAAACCTTTACATTAAACTTTTTTACTTTTAGAGACGTGATGTTAGAGCAATACGAACTGGAAATGTATAAAGTCTCGGGTTTCGCCGTTGTTGCATATGTAAGTGACCATCAGATAAATGCGCCGATTTCGAAAACCAATTCTCAGGACCAAGATGAGCAATTGAGATGGAGCGCAGTTGCATTTTGCTTCGGTGTAATTTTCCTCATGGAAATTCAGTTTGCTATCGTTGGCTACTGTGGATTTCAGATGCATTTCAAGATGAATGATTTGTTGAAAAACGTGTCAGAAGCGCATCGGAGACTTCAGATGCAGTTTTTCAAGAGCTTAGTGTTGCAGGTTAGTTGTTTTGTGTTTTTCCAATTTCCGTTGTTATGATAACATCTTCTCATGTTTTTTCCGGTTTGTCAGAAACCCAAGGTTACTGTATTTTTCAGATCACCTCCCCCACACTAACCTTCTACATCCCAGCCGTTGCAATTATGCTTGTACCTTTCTTCAATCTCAAATTGAGTATTCCCTCTGGTCTTATCGTGTGCTCATTTTCCATTTATCCACCTCTCGACTCCCTAATCTTAATGCTTATTGTATCGGACTACCGGAATGCCATCCGAGGTATTTTATAGTCTGTTTTGGTGTCTGTATATCCTATTCCAGGGATTTTCAAACAACCGTCAAGTGTATTTGGCTCCAAAGTCTTTACAGGGGTTGCTGCACCAAGAGCAATGATGGAAAATGCTTGGAATTGACTTTTTTGATTTCTAACAATAAAGAGATTCAACATCATTTTGAAAATGCGGCCATCATTTCTCTGATTTTTCAAAGGAAACAATATAAACCACAAAATTGAAAATCGTCATAAACTACAGAAAAAGCCGTCATTTTCAAAGATCACAAAACGTCGATGATACAGATTTCTTTCCGCTGACAACGTTTTGCCACAAAATATTGTGCTTGCTATGTGAGAGACAGTACACAACGTTGAGAGATTTAGGTATTGAAGAAAAACATTGTGTTTAAATTCAACCTCGGACGGGAGTATAAAACGACGGGGGTATAGGATGATTCACACAGATTTACCTAATTATTTCATTTCTTGTATATTTTTATTTTAAACTTTTGAGAATCTCAAATTATTCCTCTTCCATGAAATTTCAAAATTTTACAGTATTTGTCTTCTTAATTCTGTTTAGTTCAGTTCTTCAGATGCCTTCCTACAAACTGACCTATTTTGACGCTCGTGGTTTTGCTGAACCAGCTCGTATGCTTTTCCATTTGGCTGGTGTTTCATTTGAAGATGTTCGTGTGAGTCGTGAAGATGGATCATGGGAGAAGGTTCAGGATTGTGAGTTTGATTTTCATTTTGGACCCATTGACCCATAGACTCATAGACCCATAGAACCATAGACCCATGGATCCATATTTTTCCAGCTACTCCATTCGGAAAACTTCCGGTCCTCTCCGTCGACGGATTTGATATCCCACAATCTGCCGCCATTATCCGTTACCTGGCCAACAAATTCGGATACGCCGGAAAGTCTCCAGAAGAGAAAGCATGGGCAGATGCGATTGTGGACCAATTCAAAGACTTTGTCGGTGCCTTCAGCGAACTCATCCTGGCTCAACGATCTGGAAAGTCTGCTGAGGAAATCGCGAGAATCAGTACAGAAATTACCACACCAGCCAAGGAAGCGTGGTTCAAGATTCTAAATGGGATTCTGGACAAGAGCAAGTCTGGTTTTTTGGTTGGAGATGGACTAACTTTTGCCGATTTGGTTGCAGTGGAAAATGTGACCACTCTGGAGAAGAATGGATTTTTGGTCGCTTCGGAGCAGCCAAAATTGATTGCTCTGAGAGAAAAGGTTTATGGTATTCCAGCCATCAAGAAATGGATCGACACTCGTCCGGATACTCCGTTCTAAACATTTATTTTTCTGAAATGGAATCAATCAAGAAATTTTACATGTTTCAAAAATAAAAGTAATTCTTCATATATAAATTTATACATAACCAGTATCCCGGAACATTTCTGGATGTGAAAAACTCAAATTGAACACATTAAACACCTTGGCGATTTCCGCACGACTTCTGTACTCTCTCACGTTTTCCAGAATGTCCTTATTGATTTTCAGAAGTTTCGAAAGTCTTCCAGAATACCTTGGCATTTTGCAGTCTTCGATGTAATAGGAGTGCAGATCATTGGAGAGGATTTCTAGAAATTGCTCCATTATTTCAGAAATTTTCCCGCCAAATCGAGAAGAGGCGTATTGGAAACAGAGTTGAGCAAGCATGAACGATAGTTCGGTTTCTGTGATTTCGAGCATTTGAATTTCGTCGATCATTGGGAAGAGATCGCAGATTCTGACGCCGTCGAGGAAACTGAAAATGAGAAAGTGACTGAAATTGTGAATTCTTCTATTATGCCAAAGTTATCAGGAGGAAATCTATATTATTTGAAATTCTATAATACTCACTATCTCAACTTCTGAATCGGATAATTACTCATCCATTCAGAATCCGTTTTCACATCAATCATATCCGTGATAATACCATTTCCAGCTAGTCGATCCACTTTTTTAGCCTTTTTGTTTCGAATTCTGTACAACGCTGTCCTTACCAATTTGTCCAACCTTCCCCAGACATGCCAGACTGCGAATAAGATTTTTATCTGTAGTTTGGTTTTTTAATATTATATTTCCAGAATCATCTACCTTCATTTCATGATCCAACTCTTGGAACTTGTTAAAATGGGTCAACCATTTAGCAGTGGTTAACAAATTATATTCCCAAAAACTCATCACTTCTTTTTTGGTGATCAGCTCCATTTTCTGAAATTTTTTCTCAATTTTTAAATATCCGAAACTCAACCCACCCTTTGATTTTCCGTTCTCCTCATACAACTCTCGGCGAAATTTAATTTTTTCAAATGATTTTTTGCAATTATCGGAGTCGGAGGTCCTTTTCGTAGAATATCCATAGCCTGAGCAATCAGAGCACTCAGGTCTACATATGGCCGAAATGTTGGAGTTGGATCCGAGGGATGTATAAAATTGGGTTTTCCCAAAATCGATTCAACAGTTTCTGGGATTTTCCTTTTCCGGTTAATTGGAACCAACTGACGCCCGTCTCGGTCGTGTTGGAATCCTGAAAATTTTGAATTCGAATTTGGCGCCAATAATCAAAAAATTCAAATACTTGAAATATCCATTCCGGCGGTATGACATCTTTTTAGACGACATGGTTTGCAGTGGTATCTGGAAAACTTCGGAATAACAGACTTTTAAATTATAAAATTAATTTACGATTTTCCATCACAGTGCTTACTCATACATTTCATAGTGCTCCATTTTGAGTCAGCGGCTCTTCTGGAAAATTGATTTTTGAGGAATTTTTAAAAAATCATTTTGAAAAAAATTATTAACTGGGTCATGGAAATAAATATTAAAATCTAAGCCATGACCTGAAAACCAAAATCTAGGTCATGACCTGAAAACTAATATTTAGGTCATAACCTGAAAAATGAATAGTATAGGTCATGACCTAAAAATCGAAATCTAGGTCATGACCTGAAAATCAAAATCTACGTCACGACCTAAGAATTAAAATCTAGGTCATGACCTGAAAATCAGCATCTGGGTCACGACCAACATCGAAACCGAAACTATTGTTTTCAATAATTCTAAAACTTTAGCTATCAATACATATAGAACCTTACCTAAAAAATGCCGCACATGCTCTACAACTGAAAACTCCAAAATGGTTGCCCTGACCGATTTGTCCACAAATTACGCAGGTTAGAAAATCAGATGTCATTTTTCTGAATTTATTAAAAATACATTAAAGAACTTTTCATTAATTGAAAAAAATATTTTATTGGAAAAAAGAGGAAAAGAAGAAGAATTAGGGGTTAGTTCAGTGAATCATGTGAGAAAAACTGATAAGATAGAGAGGGGGAAAATTAGAGAAAACTAGTAAAAAATTGGAAAAGATAATAAACGCATCAAAGAATACATATGAATCATAGAGATCATATTTCCGATAATTTTTGTATCTAAAATTTCAGTCCAAAAGTTTGAAATTCCAAATATTTCTAGTTTTCTCAAACCAATTTATTATATCAACACAAAGATCATATTCCGTCCAAAAACATTGCGAAATATAAAAAACTGTTAGAGACACAGAAATTATGGAGGCGCAGACATAAAAACCAAAGAGACAGAAAGGTGGCTTATTTGATCGGTTGCCGAGAATTCGCAAGTTTTCTCTTTGATTTGGAAAATCCAAATTTAATTTTTTCTCAAATTTTAATGAAGATTGAAATAATGAATGCGCTTCTTTTTAAATTAAAGCTGAACCAAAAATAGAGCAATGCTCTTCTGTTGATTATTTCCTGCTGTCAACTGTCTTTTCATTTATTGATTCACTAAATTACAATAGTTCAAACACTATTCTGAAAGTGCGCCGCACCGAACTATTAGCCCTTACTCGCTAATTTCGTTTTTCGTGATTTCCTTTCACGCACTTTTCTGTTTCTCGCCGATTCATAGAGACTCAAAAATTGTCATGGCAACAAGAAAACTCATGCAGAAGGACACTAGAGAAATAGAACAATTTAATAAGAGATGTAGACAAGGAACTTCACCCTAATTTCTTACTTCCTGCTAGAGATATCAAAAAGTGGTCAACTAACAAAATGTGTAAAATTTTATCATAATTACTGTTTGACAACTTTCTGATATTTTATACAGAATTTTCCCTCGTTTTCTAATATTTGAGATTTTTTTTCAAACTTTCATGTTTTTCTTTTTTTTTCAGATAATGCAAATTGCCCGATACGAAAATTCGTTCCAATTTTTTTCCTGTCAAGTTTGTAAAAATCCAGCTCATGGAAAACATTTTGGAGCAATTACTTGCAGAGCTTGCGCAGCGTTTTTCAGGTTCATTTTTTTACTTTTAAATTCTCGGAATTTTTCAATTTCTCAACATTAATTGTTTCAGAAGATCTGGAACAATCTCAAAATCTGTATACCGATGTGACCAAAACAATAATTGCGAAATTTTGAAAAACGGACGGTTCGCATGCAAAAAGTGTAAATTGAGGAAATGCTTGAAAGTCGGAATGGATGATAAAAGTAATTTTTAAAATTTTTCAACTTCAAAATTTTTTATTTATTTCATAATTCATTTTCGGGAGAGATCTTATTTCTGCCACTGAAGATTTTATGCGCCAATCTAGAAAATCAACTATCGATTTGCCCGAAGTAATTTTTTATTCAAATTTTTTTCTGAAAAAAAATCTGAAATTTTCAGACAGTCGAACATTTATCAGGCCGACCGTTATTTGTGATTTATATGGATCCTAAACCCCTATTGCCGAACGAAAAATCGTTTATCAATATACAGTATCTCATAGATGAGGGTATCAAAATTATGGATTTAGGATCTGAAAAACCGTTTTCTGCTGAAAATCGTCTTAAAAAATTAGCAATCGGATTAAGGATAGTTAGAGATGGAGCGAAAAATAGGGAAGTTGGAAAATTGACGAAAATCGGAAAAGCTGAAGCGATCGGAATTTGGGAAAGGGATTTTTTGGCAGCTGTAAAATGGTTGAGCTATTTTTCCGAATTCGAACAACTGCCAAGAAGCATGAAGGTGCATTTCGTAAAACTTTGGGATCTTGAAAATCTGAAAAACTTTCAGATTACTCTTCTAAAATCGATTTGGCACGTCTGGACTCGATTAGAAAAATTGGCATTAACAGCGGAGAGTCGAAAAAAGGAAAAATGCCGAAGAAATGAGATAATGCTGGATAAAAATTCATTTTATGATCAGAAGGACTTTGAGGTGGATATTAGTTGGTGTACCAAATATCCAAAGGAAAAATTGAAATTGTGAGTTTTTTAGGTTCTTGGATTGATGGATTCTTAGATTCTAAGAATGCTTGGTATTCGTTAAAACCAGAAAATCAAATTTTTGAAAAAAAAAACATACGAATTTTTTCAAAATTTCAGTTTTCGTTTTTCAAATTCTCAGATTTCGAGGTTTCAGCTTTTTCGACGAACCTCATCATTGGATGGATTTCTCAATCATCGACTCAATAATTGCTCTAGATCCAACTGACATCGAATTGGTCTACATGATGTGCCAATTATGTTTCCAGTACGCTGGAAAACGACACCAAGGAGAAATTCTAGAAACTTGTGAAAATTTTCTGGACCTTTTGGGCAATGATTTACACGATTATTACACAAACTATGTGAAGTGTAGCAGATATTTGGGAAGATTGAGTCAAATGATAAGGATAAACAATATGATTCAGGTTGGTGCAATTTTTGAACTTTCATTAATTTTAAACTTTCAGGAAGACATCCGAGGAAGGCGTGTAAAACGAGAATTGGCTGAAACTTTTCAAATTTTTTGCACCGAAATTTCGCATCCGGAAATGTTTGTGGATACTTGAATAAACTACAAATGTTATAGAATTAAATTATTAATAATGAAATGAAATGTTTCTGAAAATTTGTTATAAATTGAAATTTCTAAAATGTCAAAAATCATGAATACAATACGAACAAAAATTTTCTCAACTGTTAAAGTGGTTTTTATTATTTCGGAACCATATATTAGGTTGTTCGGAAAGTCCTTTCCATTTTTAGCATCAGATTCATTCGATATGAAAAAGGTCAAAACGATGTCAGATAAATTGAAGATAATGACCATTGTTAACCATTGTTAACTATCTGCTAACGTCCCACCAAATTGTGGATGCCTTCCTTCCAGAACTCCGGTCACAGCGCATTGAAAATCAGGTCAACCCATTTTTGACATCATGCTTTGAAGTGAATTTTTTTCAATCAAGATGTCGGTAGAAATGGCTGGATAGGGGGTAGTCAGACAGTACAAGGTTTGGACTATACTGTAGATAAGACAGAACCGTTTAGCCGTATCCAGTGAGATCGGTCTCCGTTCTCCTTCCCGCATGAGGTTGCGAATTTCGATTTAAAAAATAAACCTTTGTGTTTCTCTCCAATGGAGATCCACATGGAGTCTAAATTATGTCACCAGACAAAAATAGCTATCGGTCATAAAAGTGACACCATTATCTGGCAGCTCCCAATACTCCACTCCTTGGTAGACATCCATGCCGAAAACATCCCATTTTTAACGTTAATTTCACGTTTCGTCTGGTGGTTGAGTGCCTTTGTCAACCCACTTGGATTGTTGTTTATAGTAATCATACATTACCCATTTATCGCCACTAGTAATGATTCAACTTCAATATTCATGTGTGCAACGCAGGATGAGAAGATTCAAATAGGTGCCCACACATGAAACAAAGTTGCTTTGAGCGAAAAGGTGTGATCCATATCTTCCCACTTTTATTACTTTGCCGAGAGTTCCCAATTTATGGCTTTTCGACGAAAGGCTTGCCACTGATGTACTTGATATATCCCGCACAGTTTGAGACGGGTCCCTTTCAATCCCGGTTTTTAACGCATCCAAATCTGAGCCCGTATGCTTTTTTGAAGGGGGATTTTCGTCCAACGAGAATTTTCATTTTTCAAATTGATGAATCCAGGTTGTGAAGTTTGTTCGAAAGGGTGCATCTTCGTTGTTAACCTCCACAAATTGGTGATTGATTTCAGCTGATCTGAGGTCAGATAGAAATACAAATAAAATGGTAGTCCAAAAATGAAAATTATTAGAGGCGAAAACGGTGGGCATATCTCACTGCACGAAAAGAGGAGAATGATCTCCGTTGGGGTGTAGACACTATTAGACCTCACCAGCATACGGTAAAACGACAACTTCCTCGCTTTTATCCCCTTCAAGAAAACGAAGTTTGAAAACAACATATCAAAAGTGGAAAGGACTTTCCGAACAACCTAATATTATAGAGTATAGGAAATAGAAAATTGTCCAATTTTATGTATTATCATTAGGGCGCATTTGCCAACTGGTCTTTAATCAAGACACTGCCCTAATACTATCTAATCTACAGAAATGATCCTCAAGTTTTTTTTCTTCTTTGACAAAATCCACTTGATTATTTTCCGACTCTGTTAGTACAACAACTTAATCTTTCTCGTATTTTCATCTCTCTGTCTCCTTCTTATAATCTTTCCTCCCCTGTGAATGCTATTCAAACATTGTCTCCTTTATTTTCTCCTGCCCTCCTAACGTTTTCACGTGCCAAATCAATATGTCTCTATGTCTATGTATATAGTTTCTGGTCTAAAACTTTCCATATCTCTGCACCTCTTACTGTCTCTCTGGTTATTTTTTTCGTCTGGTATCGGATGACTTTAATTCTGGTTCTTTGATTTTAAATTTATGCGACTTGTCGGTTCCGGTTTTTTATTTTTGTTTTGAGCGCGTAGTTTGTGTTTTGTGAGACTCGGAACTTTTTGAAAATTTTGTTTTTCTTTGTCTGAAATGTTGAACTTTTTGTCATTGTTCGATGTTTGGAACTTCTGGAATTCTATAAAGAGCTCAGAATTGTTTTCTTCATTTTTTCCGATTCTTGAATTCTTCGATTCCTGAATTCCTGTATTTTTGAGATTTTTACACTTCGATGGTTTAGACAATTAGACAATTTGCACAATTGTACAAATTTCAAGAATATTAACAATTTCAAAAGTCAACAATTTTTAAATAATGTTCATAATTCCTGCTTTTTTCGATTTCAACGATTTGGACAACCTTTAGCAATTTTTCCCATGTGTTTCTTGTTCCCTTTTTATCCTTATACCTAAATTCCCGAATCTATGTATTCCTGCATCTCTAAATTACTGGATTTCCGAGTTCTCGAATTCCCGAATTCCCAAGTTTCGGAATTCCTGAATTCCTGACTTCCCGAATTACAGAAATCACGAATTCCCTGAATTCGTGAATTCTTGATATCCTACCTTTTCGAATTCCTGAATCACTGAATCCCTAAAACTATAAATTCCTAAATTCCAAACTGATTTTTTTATCTTTTCTCACTTCCTTGTTCAATTTCTTTTTCTAGTTCCCAATTTTCCCTCTCAAAAACGAACCAGAAATCATCATCACCCCTCGTAACCTATCACTTAAAACGGTCATAACATTCGGCTTATCACCACCACTAAAATTTTCTTATTCTCTTTTTCTAGATAAGGCAAAACGCCGAATTTCTCCTTTTTGAGAGTCAACTCTCCATTTTTTTTCTCTTCACACTTTAGTCAGTTCATCTTTACTGATTTCAGCTTCTTGTTTTTCTAGTTTGATATTTATAAAAGTAGTCTGAATTTTCTGAGTTGTCCAGAAGCTTTGAGTATATCTCATGAAAGTTTCCATACAGATCATGGACACAAACACCTCAATGATGCAATTCCAACAATTCCCAACAAGTTCGTATTCTTCGATTCTCTATTCTCCTTCAATTTCACCAATGGACGAAGACGCAAACATGAATGATGGACAACTGGTAACCCTTAATTATTTTCCGTGTCAAGTTTGTGGACAACCGGGGCATGGAAACCATTTCGGAGCAATTAGTTGTCGAGCATGTGCTGCATTTTTTCGGTTGGTTGGTTTTTTTTTAAATGAGCAATTTGGAATAGAAAAATTGTGTAGCTTAGTTTAGACGGTCGGTCGTGGACACAGCAATAAATGAAACCACTAATTTTGAGGCCATATATCTAATTTCCTGAAAAACATATCAGAATTTTGTAGACTTTTTGTGATAATATCAATTCTCCAATTAACCATTTTTGTTAACTTTCTGGTGAATCCAAATAATTGGGGTCAAAGTTATAGTAGAGGAAAAGAATCACAATTGGAACTTTGTACTGAAAACTAGTCGGTACTGAAAAAGTATTAGATAATCTTCCGATTTGGCTGAAAGTTTTATAGTATATTGAACAAACTTAGAATTATATTCTGGTTGTTGATACTATTGCATAACATTTGGCAAAAAAGTAGACCACTACAAAATTGAAGCTCTAGTTTTGTAAAGCATGTCCTAAAATGTTTTGAGTGAACCAAAACATTCTGGAAATTTTCTTTCAGGGGATTTTTGTGTGTACTTTAGTGACCAACTAGGTCATACGATCATCACAAAATTTATGACCGCTAGTTAATTTTTTTTTTTGAAAAAAGGAGTTTATGCGAATTTAGCTACAAAACACACAAGTCATAGAAAACAAGTGCACGGTTTTTTGAACTAGTTTAATGTTTTTCTTGAGAAATTTTTACGACTCATAGTCAGGAAATCATAAAGTTTTTTTGATATGCAAAAAATGAACATAACTGGTACGGTTGAACTCGAGCGTACTAGAGTGTCGTCTCGCGAAACTTAGCTTCAGCAATTTGCGAGAAAGTTCAGCAGTTCTCGCAAAGAAAGTTTTGTTCGGTTCGGTTCTGTTTTGCTCAAAGTTCGGCATTGTTTTTTCACCTATTAAGATTGGGGCCATGAAAAAATATTCACGTTCCCAGGTAAAATGCGGACGGATCCGTTTCGGTGTTCACTAGGTTTTCTATACGTAACGGGTCCGTTACGGACAGTTTCGCGAATCTGAGTTCGCGAACGGATCCGTTTGTCATCATTCGCAATCGGATCGGATACGGAGTTCGCGAACGGACAGAATACGGAGGAACACGAAATAATGTGCAGTGGTTTTCTGAAAACGGGTCGCGTGCGGTCCGTATGCGGTTCCTATTTCAATCGCGCGCGAACGCTGAACATCCGTAACGGTAGCGAGACAGTACTGTAACGGGACAATGCCGAACGTTGAGCAAAACAGAACCGAACCGAACGAGAACGGTCGATTGGAAATTGCGAGAAATGCGAGAACTTTCGCGCGAGACGACAATCTAGAGCGTGCCCACTTGAGCTATACGGTCAACGTCCAATGAGCTACACGGTGGCAGTCGTCAAAATATTGATTTTTAAATTGTTCCAGAAGAGCTGCGACAGGAGCCAAAACCATTTACAAATGCAAAAAAGATAACGTTTGTGAAATTTGGCAAAGCGGTCGATTCCCGTGTAAAAAATGTCGATTGGACAAGTGCAAGGAAGTTGGCATGGATCCGGGAAGGTTTCAATTCGATAGAGATCCCATATCAGCTACTGAACAGTTTGTGAACACTAAACAAACAAAGAGGATGTTTCTCCAATTGCCGGAGGTAGTGGATTCGAAAGTTTTTCAAAAAATTTTTCAAATCCAGAGTATTGGAATTCTACTCGAAACTTTGAACATTTAGCTTTTGGATTTTTCAATATCTAAAATTTCCTAAAATCCGATTTTTCAGCACTTCTTTCAAAAATTCCATTTCAGACCGTAGAGCATTTCCTCAGCCGCCCACACTTTATCATTTTCATCGAACCACCAAGCTATACGGATAAGAATTTTATCGATTGTCAGCTTCTTCTGGAAAAAGCTTCGCATGTTTTGGAGCTAGGAGCTGAAAAGCCACTTTTCGCGAAAAATAATTTACAAAAGCTGGCACTTGGGTTGAATTTGGTGAGAGATGTTCCAAGTGGAGGGCAGAATATTCAGATTTTGACGAAATTGGGAAAAGATGAGATGATGACTTACTGGGAGACGGATTTTCTAGCCGTGACCCGGTGGTTGACCTATTTCGATGATTTTCAGCAACTGCCACACGCACAACAGGTAAGCGTTATTGGTTATCCTCGAATAGAAGGACCCTCCTAGACAAAGAGATATCAATCTTTTAATTATTCAATCGATAATGGTCATCTTCAAAACTCTGAAGAAGTAATTCAGACTTTTTTCACTTGTCTGAAAATTTCAGAGAATTCTGAACAAAGTTAGAGCATTATTTTTGTTTAGTAAAATCTGGGTTCCTCAGATAAATCGGAAAACTTTGAGTTATTTTCCAAACCTCCAAAATTGACTATGTTCTACTGAAAAAGTAGGTCTGACCGTGTAGCTTGGTTTTCAGGTTCTTCTATTAAAATCCATTTGGCATGTCTGGAGTCGTCTAGACAAACTGTCCTTGACAGCGACTGGTCGACGACAGAAGTTGTGTGAGCAACGAGAGTTAATGCTCGGCTGGAATTCGGTTTGTGATCCGAAAACTGTCGATTTAGACATTTCATGGTTTACCAAGTACTCGAAAGAGCAATTGGCATTGTGAGTAGTATTTCCGGATTCTTATATTCCTGAATTCCTAGGTTCCTAGATTCTCAGATTATAACTTTCAGCTTTGGATTCTTGGAAGAAATGGATGAATGGATGGGTGGACTCGCTCTGGAGCCATTAATGGAACTTCAACCAACAGATATTGAGCTAACCTATATGTTATGCCAATTATGTTTCCACTACGCTGGCAAAAAGTACCAAGGAGACATTCTAGATGTCACCGAAAAATTCCAAGAAATTCTGGCGAACGATTTGCACAACTATTATATAAACGAGCTGAATATGCCAAGATACTGTGGACGATTGAACCAAATGTTGAAGATTAATAATATTATTCAGGTAGTTATTTTATTTTTAATGGATATACAGAAAAATACATTCTTTCAGCAAGACATCTGGGAGAAACGTGCTAAACAAGAAGTCGCCAAAATTTTTGACGTATTCTGTATAGAATTTTCGCATCCGGAGATGTTCGAGGACGCTTCTTGAATGCATTTACTTGTTTTACACTATTTATTTTTTGTATATTCAGAGATTATAAAAAGTACAGATAAAATTATTGAAGTTATTAAACAGATTTCGAAGTTACAATACTGACTTTTGCAGTTTTTTTCTGAAATTTTAAAATGTTTTTTAAAAGAAAAATTTTGACAAACCTTGAGTCCAAATTTTCTTAATAATCCATTTCTTATTGTTTTCTTAAAGAATTTAAAAAAGAATTTGGAAAAAATTATATTGATCTCAATAGTTTGTTGAATAAAGCAGAGCAAATTTTAGCGAACGAGGTCAGTTTGAAAAACTGGGTAATTTTTATTTTTAAAAATTTCAGAAGCCAAAAATCCTCAAAAACATGTCTACTCTTCTAAACCTTGCTCATGGTATAGAATCTGTTCGAAATCTGCCATCTCCAAAATATTACCGATTTTTAAGAAAATGGGATGTCGAAGACAAGCTAAAAGAATGGTAAAACTTAATTTTTGATTGTGGCAAAGTGGTTAACATATTTCGAAAAATTCCGAATGCTTGATGTCCCTTTAAAATGGAATTTTTCATAGGAATCTGGCATACTTGGGTGCTGTTCGATAAACTGTATCTAAATTTTCATGCAAGAAAAAATATATTCGGTTCTGGAAATGTTATCATGGGATATAATACATATTACAGTTGGAACAACTTGATTGATATGACAGGATTTTCAAAAAGTGATGAGGAAAATGCAAAGGAGTGAGTCGAAAAATGCAAAAAATTCTGAAGATGAGAAAAAATATCTTCAAAAAACATTTCAGATTCATCAAATGTGTCGATTGGAACATGCTGAATTTCATAGACCCTCTAATGTATTTGAATCCTGACAAAGTGGAAATCATTTTCATGATTTGCCAATTCTCATTCAATTATGCTGGAAAAAGATTCCAGGGACCGATTCTAGAAATTTCGGAAAACTTTTTGGATATTCTGTCTAACGATAAAAATTCGACGTAGTTTCGTTTAAAACTCATGAAAGTTTCTTTCAAATTGTTTCAAGTTTAAAGATATCCAGTTCAAAAAACAGTACTTTCACCGAAACATGTCAAATATTCCGCTTTTGTACTCTACTAAAACAGGTTTTTTGTTTATACCCTCTACGCTAGGCTTCCTGTCTATTGACCAAAAATTTCGTCCAAGTTTGAAATGATCGCTGTCCTATCATGGATAGGCTAACAAGAAAATGCTATCATGGCATCTGTTATCGGCGAAATCTCTCATTTTCTTTCTTCCGATCTCTAGGAAAAACACTTCATCCATGAATTTCATTGTTCTACTAACACTATTTTCTCTTAATAGTTTAATTGAGACATGTGTAAGAACAATTCCACCGGAAGAAGTTTATATAACTTCGACTGAGCCTTCAACTGATAAGCGAAGTGACTAATGCTCCAGTAACAAATGCTCCAGTGACAGATGCTCCAGTGACAGATGCTCCAGTGACAGATGCTCCAGTGACAGATGCTCCAGTCACAGACGCCCCTACTAATCGTAATTTCAACTATAAAATTGAACTTGAAAATCCACAAATATTCAGCATGTACAATGTGTATGGTAACACCACCAACTAGTAACCCCGCAGGAACCGACTTCACATCAGTGTAACTTTTTCGTATAATATTATTAAATCGATTTCTATTGATTTCAGAGAGCAAGGAACTGCGGGAAAATGCAAGGAAACATTAGTTACATGTAAAAGAACAGATGATCTAACTTGTAACAAAGTTTCCATTCAGGTGAATTGAAACAATTTCGAGTTGAAATTATTGTAAAAATTTAGACATCAACGGGCGTGTTGATTGACGCAGCCGATACTAAGGAAGCTTCGGCTCTTTTGCTATGTCAAAATGATGGGACATACAGTTTTGGAACAATGTAAGCATTTTTTGATGTATTTACAGATTTGATGATTGCAATTTTTCAGAACAAATATCGGACAGCTCTCTTGTGTTTATGAGGAATGTGCATGTAAGTTGTTTCGTATGACCGAGTATTATCATTTTTTTCACCATATTTTTTTCAGCATGCACATCTTGCGATATTAGTAAATTGACACTTCCCATGCCGGTCGCCGGTGCAAATTTCCTTAATTTGTAAGTGTACCCCTCAACTTTTAACATATTTATCTCGGTGAGAGGTATCGAGATTCCACGTACAAAATATTTCTGACATCCTGACAAACATTTTTATTCTGTTGACTATTGTTGCATTCCTGTTACAGAAAACGAGGAAAACTGGCTCAAAAGTTGAGCTATTATTTTGCAGGGATTCCACAACCGCAGATGGATGCAAACAGACTTCTGTAACTTGCGAGAGGACTGATAGCCAAAGATGTGGAACAGTGGCAGTTGTAGTATGTAAACTTTGAAATAATTCATATTCAACTCAAAATTCACTTTTCCAGGGTTCCAATGGTCCCATAATGGGTAATCTTGCTTCCACAGTGGACGGAAATACGGTTACAGTAAGTTTAACGTGTCAAGCCGATGGAACATACTCATCGGGATCATTGTGAGTTAATCTTGTACTATCAAATTCTATCCGAGATAAATATAAAATTTTCAGAAATAATATCAATCAACTGGATTGTTTGTATGAGACGTGTGCGGTTCCAAATCGTGAGTATAGTTTTTTTTTTCAGCTTCAGTTTAATGATCTAATTTTTAGTATGTGCCGAATGTGATATCAATGCAATATCGCTAGCAAATCTTCCCACGGGTGCTATTTTCAATCCGACGTTAGCCACTAATTCGAAATGTGTTTCTTAAAAAGAGAATTTCAGTGATATCCCATCTGGTAATTGCAAAGTGACCGATGCCAGTTGTGCACGGAATGATGGAAAATTATGCGCCCAAATAATCACGACGGTATGTCGAAATTATCAATAATCCAACAAAGAGTTGAAAGTTTAGGTCGATACTTTAATTGGTCAATGGCGTTTTTATGGTTACAGCTCGGATGCTGGTCACGCTTATTTATTCTGTGGGGAAAATGGTCTCTACGACATAGGAGCTCCTTCGTGAGTTTGCAAAAGTGTGTACGTTGACCAAATGAATTTTCAGTGCAATAGTGACGAGCATTACATGTGAATATATCAACTGCATCTGAGAAAACGTGTGACTGAGGCGAGCTGGTTGAAGACGCACATTTTTTGATAATGATATTCATAGATAGTAACATAATTAATCAATTTATTTTGCGAAAAAATAAATGAGGATCAAAATTTTTAGTATGCATAAATCTATCTGACAAAATATATTCAATTGTGTACTCTACTCAAACAGGTTTTTTTTGTTTATAAATACCGTAAAACCTGTATTAGAAGGGCCGGCCCTTATATTTTTCGAAGGTATTTCCGGAGGGCCCTTCTATTACAGGGGCCCTCAAATTAGAGGGGGTCTTTCTATTTTTCCAGTCATTTTTCCCGAAAATTTTCATCGAAAAATTCGACGAATTTTCGTTCAAAAGTCATGAAAATCTGTCAATTTCACAAAAAACAATCAAGTTTTTGAGCAAAAATACAGTTTCAACAGATTTCTATCAAATTTTAGAACTGCCGGAATATTTTCCACTGAAAAAGTACGGAAAAGTTTTAATTTCATGATATGTTTTGAAGGGCATCCTTCTTTACAGGGGGGGGGGGCCTTCTATTAAGGAGCCCTTCTAATACAGGTTTTACGGTAAGCCCAACGCTATTCTTCCTGTCATTGACCAAATGGCTAGAGAAAAATTTTCCCGCTCCGGGTTCCGAATATTTCAAAATTTTTCTTTTCATTTGTGATACATTTTTGCCAAAGTGATCGGTTTAAAGTACAAAATTTAGCCCAGGACCCTTCTGAAAGCTGAAAATGAAGAAATTTGGATAAAATGCCCCCAAAAATCAAAATTTCTCTCAAAAAATGACTCTTGAAAATTTTTGCTTCGAAAACCCGGTCCAGCCGGGCCGGGCCCGCGACACATCCATTAATTTCATTTTTCTAATAACACTATTTTCTCTTGATAGTTTGATCAAAACATGTGTAAGAACTATTCCACCTGATGAAGTTTATATCACCTCCATTGAGCTTCCAACTGATAAGAAAAAAATGCTGAAAAATCAAAAATTAATACAATATCAAGAAATTTTTCTTCATCTTTCGGTTCGATTCAAGCACTGAGACACGTAGACACTTCAGATTAATGGAAGATCCTATAAAACACGGAAGGGAATCATTAGCTAGTTTTCATCACCGAAAATTGAAAGATTATAGTGTCTATCCTCTCGTCCCAAAGATCATTTGTTCTGCGTGAGAAATTTGTACCTAGACTGATGCTAGGATCAGAAACCGGTTCAAGATCAGAATCTTTCGCATATATGGAAGAGGACAATGATTGAGATTCGCGTTTTTATTTATCACTTTCCAGACATCGGCTTGTATCAATTCGGTTTACAAAACGTATGTATATCCATCAAACCTAGTCTGTTGTTGATAATTAAAATAAAGGAAGACGGGAAAGTTCTCGGTGTTCATTCGGGGGAAAAATATCGAAGTTAAAAATTCTAATATGCAAAATAAATGAATCACATTGTCACCACCGAAGATCTTATCACTTTTGACGGACTTTTACAACAACAACCTGGAAAAACTCTAAACTCAAAAACTGAAAAAATGTAATTTCTTACCGAATATCGCTTTTCAATAACTCTCCACTATAAACATAGTTGACAATGGATCCACAGCTGGATAGCTTGAAATCGAAGCTGTTGCTATACTACTAAATGTTTCAACTTCCAAATTGAACATGGGACACCAAAATGGAATTCCAACCGGTGCGTACATGAGTAAAACAGGAATCAGCGTCTGGAAATTGTTAACATTGTTAACTATGGTCGGATTAAAAAAATGGGACTTGAGATTTCGAAAACAGTCGCTTTTTTATCTACGAAAAAGCGCGGCAAAAACTTAATATTTCAGACTTTTGGCTCTTTCGAGTCAGTTCCGCATTTAAGTTCAGGTTTTTGATAAAAAACGAATTCTAGAGATGCTAGCGATCATTTTTATACCAAGAAATCAAAATTTTGTCTAAAAATCTCACCAAATTAATATAAATTAATTTGTTATTTACAGTATCCTTTTTCGGGGCGATGCCTCGTAAATCGACACACAGGTGAATCGCGCAGAACACTATATGGGCGCATTGTGGCCCATACTGTGAATGTGCGCATATAGCGTTCGTTATGCCCGCTATATGGGTTGGTGGTTGCTGGTCGGTGGTGGTGGGCGTCCAGTTAACAGGGAAAGCATATGCCCCGTCCGTGCTCGCATATAGGATCCATATTCCATAAACACTCTTATACAATGTCTCTCCGAACCGTTAGCTTTGAGCCTATATATCTGGTTTCTTATAAAAGATATCAGAAAGTGGTCAACTGACAAAATGTGTATTATGATATCAAAAGCATTTTGTCAGTTAACAACTTTTCAATATCTTTCACGGGAACCCAGATAAACTGGCTCAAAGTTGAAAGTTAAAAGGGAAGAAGTGGGCCATTCTATTAATGTGTTCATGGAATCCTGTTAGAACATTTATTTACAGAACAGGACAGTAATACAGAATACAATACAGAATACAATGTAATACAGAACATATAATTGTTTTTTGCAGAAAGAATAGCTCGAAACTCTCTTCTTGATATTCTCAGGATAAAATTTTTGGTTCTTAACAAATTGTATGTATGACTGTTTGACTATCGGAAAAACCGGTTAAAATCATAGTTCTCAGACAAGAATAAAGTTCCCGCCGGCGGGTTAAGGGAAGTTCCTGCCGCAGGGCAGCGGCAGGGACTTTTTTTTAGCCTGCCGGCATGGACTTTCACGCCGGCAGGTAAATGCTTTCTGTTCTTTCCCCCTTCCTCTTCCAGGGCCTTTTTCATGAAAATCAAATGAGAATATTAACAAAATATAAGTTTTTATTATCAGAAGAAATTATTCTTATCTAACAACAATGGGGGAGTAACGAATGGGGCAGAAATAAGTGTTTCCATCAAACTGGATTGATAGGAAAGGAGATAAAACATCAGAAGTGGGGATCAATGTGAGACCAACTAGGTTAGTGCATTTAACAATAAGAGAGTCACAATTATTGTCAGCAAAAAGTTTAATTGACCTAGCCAAACGTTGCGTGTTCCGAGCTAACTTTGAAAAATCAAGTCTTAGAGCAGCTGCTCGTACCACGCGACATACATTCCGAGATCCGATGGTGAAAGCCGACGCTCTCTGAAAACGAAATGTCAATGATAGAATCAGTTTAATTAGGTGCTCACTCTTTTCCCATTAAAGCAGATGTACAAATCGTTATCATCTGTTGAACGACATAGTTTCCATATTGATGGAAGAGAAGAATGTCGAGTGCATCGCGATTCGTCCCATGATCTTTGACGTAACCATCGAATATCTCGGTCATCATTTCCGTGAGAAGTGAGGGAGGAGCGAAGATGAAGGCTCCTTCAATGACATGTGATGCGTATTTGTCCTGTGACATGGAAAGTAAATTTCTCAAAAGACACTTGTCTATGATCATATCGCGATACATTTCCATGATTCCTGACGACTTGATGGCGTACTGAACGACATAGTTGGCAAACTCATTCGATGACAATCGATAACAATTGCGAACCACGCATGACATCAAAGTATGGATAAGTTGAAGGCGTGCGTTGAAGCATGGGGCCTTCGAATTCTCAGATAATCTGTCGATGACTTGCTGCACTAGCCGACATCCGTACTTGTCTCTGCATACAGCCATCAGAGTACAGGAGTTCCACGAAGAACGTCCAAATGTCGACAGGAAGATGCCTTACAATGCGTTGCATGGCATGAATCGATGTCTGGTCGGTGCAAATGTCCACTAAATCAGAGGAATGGAGCGCTTTGATCAGATCAGTGACAACGGAACGATCGAACTTCTGTAACAAGATATTGCTCAAATTTGAAACTTAAAAATATCTATACCTGAACTGCGATTTGAACGACGCGGCAGGCGAATTTATCTTTGCACATATCCGCCAATCCGCACTCCACCATTCTCTGCAGCAACACTTTCTGCTCATCGAGCGTTGCGAATTCGACAAGCTTCTGGATTATGAAGTTTCCGTTTGAATTTTTACACAATCCACCGAACAAGATCATCGACTCGGTGAGCTTTTCGAAAACTGCTCTGTGTAGATCGTTATTAGCATCCGTCGGATAGTGGATCTCCAGGAACTTCACTCCGTGACGGTCCATCGCAAAATTTATGAGCTGCTCCTTCCCGACGACATTTTGCAGAGTAATCTCTGTACGCGCCGGCTCGGCGAACTCTGAGCTTGCGACGAATGCCTTCTGGCCCCTGTCCGAAGGGAAGAAGGTGTCTTCTGATGACGTCCCGTTGAAAAAGAAACTTCCCGAATCGGGAATCAAATTGTTGTTCGCCAATTGTTGTTCGCCGTTTCCAAACAATTCTTGTGTGCCAATTGACGATGATCCGGAAGATGTTCCATTGCTTCTACGGAACCACGAGTCGTTCATTGTGGGGAAGACTGAGCGACAACAGGAAAATCGCACAGGTTAGTAGCCGCTGAAAGTGAAAGAAGTAGAATAACCAAAACATCTGACATAGACAAAGAAAGAGGAATTATCGAGATATTGGATTCGGATTCACGACACATGTGAAACAACAAAAATGGCGATGGAAACCGGAGATCCTGTAACGTTTTTTTAAACTGATAAATTATGATATAAATACCTGTCGGAGGAGGACACGTAGACACAGATCCATTGTTGCAGAAACGACCGCGAGGTGTTTGAGGAGTCATTTTGGGATTTTCTGAAAAATATAAGGAAATTTGCAATGTCGGAGCAATACTTTTCCTTTTCAGAATGTACACAGTGTCGGAACAAATAATTTTATATACCTCGTAAAAGAAATTCAGTAAAATAATAGACATAATCAATTTTAGCTTTAAAACAAAATAATAAAATATGCAAATTAAAATCCCGGCGAGCGGAGTGTCGCTTAGCCCGCCGGCAGGTACTTTCTCCTGCCACCACTTCAATAGCCTGCCGGCATCCTTTTTAACCCCCCGGCAGGAACTTTTTTCTTGTCTGAGTTTACCAAGACATATGTTGCCTCTTGGAAAACATATATAGATGTTGGATTTTAGGCTTGGAACAAGAATTCCATTGAACTTGGTCGGAATTTTGTCTTTGAGAAGTTCAACATTTTCTGCAGTTCAACATTTTCTGTTGCGAGGTTTACTTCAAAAAATCATGTCAAAATGCGGTTTCTATGTTAGCACAAATTGACCTGATGCTCTGTCTGCTTCTTTTACGTGAAATTATTCTATATTTTCACATGAATCGGATTTTTTGGCCGATTTAATTGTGTAATTACGCTGAAGAAGTTCACAACGACGCTCCGATATCCCGCACCGCGCGTTGTTTACCGTAAATCTACACACAGATTTTCGATGAATTTGCAGATATTTTTGCCTATTTTTGTTCGATTTTGCTTGATTTTATACGATTTCATCGGTTGTTTTTCTACTTTTCTTACTTGCAAACTCATTTTCATCGTTTCTAGCCGTTTTCCTCAAGTTTCTATCGATAAATTCCACAAAAAAAGTTATTTTAGGCCCACCGAAGGATTTCAACGCCTCGCTCGTCTACTTGAAGCTGAAAACCAAAAGTTTTCGGTGATTAGCTACAGGTACGTAACATGCATGGTATTCAGTTTCTCAATGAGTTTATTTTTAGAATCGGAGTTTGGGATTCGGTGACGGCTGTAACCACCATTCACCGTCAGCACTGGCCACACGACAAGTGAAAGAATCAGCACCGACAGAAAAAAACGAAAAGGTTAGTGAATTTTGTGGTTGAAATGCTCGAAAATGTTTAGAAAAATAAAAACCTGCGAGGTTTTTTTGACTGAAGTTGCAATGAATATTCTACTTTTGTGGCTATGACTTCAGTCTTTCGGAGCTTTTGAAACATTATGATGAAAAACGTGCGAAAATCTGCTAGAGATACCGCTTCACACGAAATTCAGGGCTCTCCATAAATTTATAGGATTTGCACAATCAGATTCGTTTTCTAAGTACTAGACTTAACTAATTTTCGGTGTGAATAAGTAAAATTATCGAAAATGTCTATTCAATTTTTCAGAAAAAAAAACAACCAAGATCAACTTCTCGATTGGATGGTCGTCTAATGGACGCAAAGAGGGAGAAAGGCAACGAAAAGTTGGAGTTCAGCGAGCCAGGAGGCAAAATGTTTAATTTTTTCGCTTTTTCTTTTCTTTTTATGTTTTTTTTTTCTCTTATTATCTATTGATTTCCCCATGCATTGCAAATAAATATTATTATTTTTTTTTTGTCATTTTTATTAATTTTCAATAAATTTGTATTGGTGAACTCTATTTTCAGTTTACAGAGAAAATTAGGACCTGGGGAGGGAAACACCGCGCGATCCCATATAACGTTCCTCGCGATCCACCTGTGCACGAACGCTGCCCGCGAAAATTTTTAGATTCCAGTTTTTTTTAATTCGACAGTACGTTACAAGATACGGTAGGTTTCAAAAAAACTCCGCCCTACACCTACACTTTGAGCTGAGCTAGATATTATTCTTGTCGGAAAAAAAGAAGGTTGAGTCGAAGTGTATGCGAAGTTTGTAAACAAGTATCTGAAAGATCCCATTAGACACAAACGGCAATCATTAGCAAGTTTTTATCACCGAAAATTGAAAGATGATAGTGTCTATCCTCTCGTCCCAAAGATCATTTGTTCTGCGTAAGAAATTTATACCTAGACTGATGCCAGGATCACAAACCGGTTCGAGATCAGAATCTTTCGGATATATGGAACGGGACAATGATTTAGATTCTTGTTTTCATTGATTATCACTTTCTATACATCGGATTGTAACAATTTGATTTGTAAATGGCTATAAAAATCTTGTACGTTGTTGACAATTTGAAGCAGGTGAGACAGGAAAGTCCTCAGGGTTCATTTGGTGGAAAAAATATCGAAGTGAAAAGTTCTAATATACAAATTAAATGAATCACATGGACACCACCACTGATCTCATCATTTTCGACTGCGGACTTTTACAGCAACCTGAAAAATATTTAAAGCTAAAAAACTCAAAACCTATAATTTCTTACCAAATATCGCTTTTCTATAACTCTCCACTATAAACATAGTTGGCGATGGATCCACAGCTGGATAGCATGAGATCGAAGCTGTTGCAATACTACTGAACGATCCAAATTCCAAATTGAACATCAGACAACAAAATAGAATTCCAACCGGTGCGTACATGAGTAAAACAGGGATCAGCGTCTGGAAATTGTAGACCTTGTTGAGGCCAAAAATTCGGGGGGTACAATGATTCGGGGGTACAAGGGGGTACAACTGATTTAGGGGTACAAAATTGATGATTCGGGGGTACAAAAATTCGGGGGTACAACGATTCGTAATGTTTTATTGCCTGTTCGAACGATTTTCGAAACAAAATATCTCATTTTGGGCCAATTTTTGGGATTTTCGAATTTTGTGGGAAATATCTAAATTGTGATTGTTTCCTTCAATCAATGATCTAGAAAACCATTTTAAAATGAGAAAAATTTGAATTACCGCGAAAATTGAGGAAAATTAAGAAAAATTGGGAAAAACGGAAAATTGGGAAAAAACCAAGGAATATTGAGAAGCAACGAAAGAATTTAGAGAAACAACGAAGGAATATTGAGAAACAAAAAGAAGTGAAAAAGAATTAAGAAATAAAATTAAGAAAAATTGGAAGTGAGGAAAGTATCGACTGGCATTAAAATCCGTTCACTAGCCCAAAAGTTTCCAAGTCTCACAACTTTCTTCATAATTGCCCTAGAGACTCGTTTTTTTGCGTTGTGTAGGAAAATTGTTTGGCTTTCTGAGTTTTTGCAAAATCTGCGAAATTTTCCAATAACTTTTCTGGTAAACCGCAACTGTTTTTAGCTTTTTTTCCTTGAAAATGCCAAAACTCGCTGCAATGTGATGGTAGAGACTTGATTTTTGTGGAAAAAAAATTAATGAATAAAACATCCAATTTTGATTGCAATAATTCTCACCTCAATAATGAATCTGTTTTTGTACTCGGTCTAAAAAGAATCCAGCATACCAATGACCACCAGAACCCAAATATCAAGGGTACCAAACATAAAAAAACAAGCTTCCGACCTTTTAGATACTTTTCACGGAATGAGTGATCCGCTGCACCGCATCTATAAATGAAATGAACTGCGAGTAACGCTATAGAAAACGCAAAACTTCCACAATACACAAAAATCAATGGAACACCTTGACTTTTTCCAAAGTGGGAATGTTTAAAATATCGAAACATAATGTTTTTATGAATACAAAAATCATACCGTATAACCTGTATTAGAATGGCTCCCACTTTTTCAAGTTTGAGCTCAAATATCTATGCAAGATTTCTATGCAAGATGAAAAAATTTTGTAAACTGATAAAATGTTTGTGATATTATTGTAATAAAGAATTAATTAGTTGAAAACTTTTACAAATCTTTGACAGGAACCGAGATTAATTTGATCAAAGTTAATAGTTAAGGGACCTTTATTACAGGGGTTACGGTATATGAAAGGAGGGAGATTTCGGAAAGGTTTCAGGGTTTTTTTCAGAGTGTAAATTTAGACCTGACGGTGTACAGTGATCGGTGGGGCGTTTATAAACACAATTCCTCTAAGATTCCCTATATTAAGATAGCCGTGTAGCTGCAGATAGAATTTCTATAACTTTCATCAAATCGTTTGACTCCGATTCTGGCGTTCAGCATTTGCTTCTCCGGGATTTTTTATTTTCTTCCAACAGCCACCTGAAACTATCCATATGCATCTCTACCAACTTTATTCACTTTTTTACACATTATTGTTTTTCTGTAATTTTCCACAATAAACATTGTTGGCAATGGGTCTAAAGCTGGATATATCGAAATTGTGGCTATCAAAACGCTAGCATATAAACCAATTTCCATATTGACCATCGGAAAATAATGTGTGATTCCGACTGGTAGATACACCAGTATAACTGGAATGAGAGTCTGTAAAAAACTAATTTTTGTAGCTAATCCTAAAAATCAACACCTGCATGACCAACGCTTGAAACAACTGTTGCTGAATCGATCTAGCGTAGTAGGAAGACATTCTGGACTTTTTCAGGACTTTCGTGGTTTGTGTGTAGCACTTAATGCCAAAATAGAATACACAAGAGAACGATGTAGACAACATGACCCAGGTACAACTCATTCCAAAAAACGTGGACCATACCGGTTCGAGGTACCCATTTTCGTTAAGTTCATAGAATTTCACTATTATGTATGATATGTCTTCAACCTTGGTGTCGTATTTTTGAAGAAGGGGAATTCTGAAAATAAAGAGTTTTGAAGAAGTCGATAATTTATGCACACCTTAAGTATTCATCCGATTCGGTACTAGGTCGAAAAAAGAAAAAAACTATACTCGACCACCATACAGCATAGATTAATGGTATTAAAAATAGAATGAATAGTTTACGTTCCCCCAGATATTTCTTACGGAACACATTATCAACTGCACCATACCGATAGATGAAATGAACACCAAATAGGGCTAGAGCTTGACCAAAAGTTCCACCGTACACGACTATAAGATAGAATCCTTGGGTTCTTCGAATTCTGGAATATTTGAAGTAACGCAATATGGTTAGTGTGGGTCCATGTGTGAAAACATGTGGTTCGGTTATCATTTCTAGTATGGAATAAACGATTTCGACCAATGAGATATAGATCATGAGGTACTTATAAGCTCCAAGGTGTTTTGGAGATCGAAAAATGATGAGGAGGATCAGAAAAGAGTTCAAAATTATCTCAAACGATCCAGTAGTCAATTTAGTGACTTTGAGGAACGATTTCCATTGTTCAAGAGCTATCATTTTTTGGGGAAAGACACAGTGTTAGTTGAATGAAAATGTGAGCAGACAGGGGGCGGTCTATGGGGAGTATAATAAATTTTTATTAGAATTTTTCGATTTTACACGAATAAGATATACCCTCTGGGAGTATACATGGAAACTACTTAAAAAAAGAAGTGTTTTCTTTCGAAACATAGAAGAGAAAAATAAAGGTATTTTAAATTTTTCTCCTGGATACTGTAGGAATCATCAAAAAAATTCGAGTAGCTACGAAACAGTTTTTCTCCGATTCTGCAACTCCGACACTTCTTCCATCTTTTTTGGGTTCCTGCAGCCGCCTGAAACTCTTATTTTAATTATGTTGTGTTTGAGGGGCTCTGGTTTTTTCCAGGATCCTCCATTTCATTCTTACATAATATAGTTTTTTCTAAAATTTTCCACAGTGAACATAGTTGGTAATGGGTCCACAGCAGGGTACACTTCAACAGTAGCTGTCACAAAGGTACTGATAAATCCAACTTCGATATTGAGCATCGGGAACATGTATAAGATTCCAACAGGACCGTACATTAGAACCACTGGGACAAGTGTCTGAACTTTTTTTTTAATTTTTCATAAGTATTTTACAAACCACCCAACCTGAAGTACCAATGCTTGAAAAAGCTGCTTCTGAATTGACCTGGCGTAGTAACTCGACATTTTCGAGTTTTTCAACGCCTTAATGATTTTGGTGTAACACTTGATTCCAAAGAAAATGACGCAGACAAGCGAGGAAGTCACCATGAACCATAAATTAGCAATACCGATGAAAGTGGTCCATCTTGGTTCCAGGATTCCTTCGTCGTTGGCAATATGAAACCAGATAATGATATAAGAGATATCCTCGATTCTGGTGGTCGTAGTTTTCAAGAAGACGGATTCTGAAACGTTTTCTATTTTTTAAAATTCCGAATTTTTTAGAAAAGTTTGTGGATAACTCAAATTCATCACTTTCCAGCACACTATTGTCTATTCAATAAAACGTGGGCCCCCCCC